AAAAAAAGGGCAAAGGCACTTTGCTGACTGAGCCATCTCCCCAACAATAGGTGTGCAGTACGTCAGTAGGTGTGCAGTACGTCGATAGGTGTGCAGTGTGTCGATAGCTGTGTAGCGTGTCGATAGCTGTGTAGCGTGTCGATAGGTGTGTAGCGTGTCGATAGGTGTGCAGCGTGTCGATAGGTGTGTAGTTAGGTTGCAGTGTGTTGACAGATTTTGTTTTTAGACTAGCTAGAATTTTCTTTTGGAGAACTTGAAACTCATTACTGAATGTACACACATATAGACATATGTGTGTTTATATGATACACACACACACCCATTCATCTGTTAGCTAAGTAGGTTTTCTGGAGTTCACAGCTTGCATGCGTGGGTAAGATGCAGCATTCAGCGCTGTACTGTCCATAGTGTACCTGACGAAAAGGGGAGACCATGAGAGGACGGCTCAGGAGCTCCACTGTCCCAGAACCATTGGGATTTCATTTTAGAGCAATGATCTCATTTGGATGTTGGTTTGCATCTACAAGTCCCCCACAGGTCACCTGGTCCCCAGATGGTGGTACTCTTTGGGAAGTTGCAGGGTCTACCTGGAAGAAGTAGGGAGGCCTTTGAAGGTGACATCCTCTTCTTGTTTTGGCTTGCGGTCTCTGCTTCCTGGTCCAGACTCCCATCACTAGGGACAGGAGTTGCTCTGCCGTCATACCCTCCCTGTCACAAAGAACCGAAATCCCTCGAAACTGTAAGTTGAGATGAACCACTGCCTTTAAGTTGTTTCTACTGTAGTTGTCCATAGTTACAGGGCTCTGGCCTCTGTTTTGGCTAACCAGACAGGGCAAGCACAGCTTGTCCCTGAGCACCTCTCTGCCAGGAGGCAATGACATGTCCACCTTACAGAGTTGTTTGTGGTCCCCACAATGTGTCATGTGCCATATACATGAACAAAGCATCAACAACTAATAGAAAAAGGGGCGGAAGAAGAAATCAACCACTTCAAGGCCAAGTTGAAGAAAATGAAGACAGGATAAGAATAACCTGTTAACCAAAGACCACTGAGGCTAGTGATGCTTCCTGTGAACCTAGCCAATTCCTTGCCTCCATCGTCTGCAAGGCCCAGTGATGTGGAGTCACGTGTAAGGAAGACATAGGCACCTGAGAAACCAGCACTGCATGCAGGTGCCACCAGCCTGAGTCTCTGAGGGGACCTCTTTCAGGCTGCCAGGTTGTGCAGCTTGCCTTAGAGTCTATAGAAACTTGATTGTGTGAATAAAACTGTAATGGAAATGAATGAGACCTCATGAAAGGGAAGACCCTGGAGAGTGCTGCCATAGAAGAGGACCCGTATCTTACAGAGTCTCCTGTGAGTGGCCAGCTGGAAGCAAATGAAAGCCCCAATCACATGCTGTCTTATATCTGCTGCACGGGAAGGTACACAAAATGTTGCCTTATCAGCAGATAGGATGAAGAGTATGAGGAGCTGTCCACTATTAGGTGTCCCTGACCCCTTCACTCCCAGGGCTAATCAGTGACATGCCTATTGTCTACAGAGACAAGCCCTCCATGGCAGCACTGGGCACTAACTAGACAAGCCCTCCATGGCGGCACTGGGCACTAACTAGACAAGCCCTCCATGGCAGCACTGGGCACTAACTAGACAAGCCCTCCATGGCAGCACTGGGCACTAACCAGACAAGCCATCCATGGCGGCTTTGCGCACTAACCAGACAAAGCCATCCATGGTGGCTCTACGCACTAACCAGTCTGTGGGCTGCTGCGCACCTACAAGCCACCATGAGCTCTCATGGCACAGTTGCCCAAAGAAACACAAGCAGCCACACTGTCATGGTGCTGTCTTCATAGCACAACTTGGAAGGCACAGTGGTGTCACTTAGGACCATATACAGGACATAGCTGCCACAATAGATAAACACCACCAAATTAGATAGTGTCTACATGGGGACTGTGAAAGGCACAATTACCCAGTGGTTTTGAATAAGACTGAAATGGAGCTGGGCGGTGGTGGCACACCTTTAATCCCAGCATTCGGGAGGCAGAGGCAGGCAGATCTCTGGGAGTTCGAGACCAGCCTGGGCTATAAGAGCTAGTTCCAGAACAGCCTCCAAATGCTATCTCAAAAAACCAAAAAGAAAAGAAAAGAAAAAAAAAGACTGGAATAGAAGGCAGTCTGGGACAACTTGAGAAGTTCTTCTGCCCCTAAAACACACTACATCTGTCTGCTGGAACAATGAGCTCTGCAGCTGGAGACAAAGGTGACGGAGTCCACTGGGTTAGTTCTACTAGGCCTCACGTCAGCTTGCCAACCGGTCCACCCCCTGTGGGTTCGACTGCCTTTCAGTGTATGTTCACATGTTTAAATGGATGTGTGCTCTGTTAGGTCTACCCTGATAACTCCATTTTAACTTCTTTACTCACTAAGCCATCTTGACAGTTCCTTTTCATTTTTTTAAGGACCCATTTGGAAGCTGAACATAGTTCATGCCTGAAATCCCAGCTAGTCCTTAGGAGACTGGGTAAAGGCTAACAGATTTAAGGCCAACATGAGCTATGTAGAAAGACAAGTTAAAAAAAAAAATGCTGCGGAGTGAAAGGTCTTGGGTCTGGGTTCAAAGCAACACAGCATGAAGAGCATTAGCTGGATTGTTAGAAATAAGGTGTTTACTGGGAAGGTTGTTAGTGCTGTAGAGAGAACAGTCGTGGGGACTCTAGAGTGCCAGACCCAAGGGCAGACAGCATGAGGGAGGGGAGCTCTGAGAGAGGAATCAGACCCACATGGCAGAAGTAGGTCTCTTCTTGTAGCTCTCTGAGGATGGAGCCTGTAGCCAGGTCCCAGACAGGGCACAAGGAAGGATGGGCAGCTGCGTGGGTAGCTAGCAGTGCCCTGTAACTGCATCCTAACATCACATTCTTAAGGGCACAGGACATGCTGTAATCCCAGCACCAGAGACGGAGACTGACAGGTCCCTGTAGCTTGCTAGCTTAGCCTGACTGACAAGTTCCAGGCCACCGAGGGGCCCTGTTTCATGCGAGGAGGGCTAGTGAGATGGCTCAGCAGGTTAGTGCTCTTTCTGTACAAGACTGAAAATCGGAGTCCATCTCTGGAACCTACAGAAAGCCAGATGTATCACCCATTGTTTAATTGCAGCCCTGCTATGGTGAGACGAGAGCTGTGAGCCAGCTAGTGTGGGATATGCAGAGTGGTGGTAGAAACAAGAGACCCCCACATTAACATGATGGAAGGAGAAAAACCAACTTCTAAAATTTGTCCTCTGACCTCTTCATGTGTGTCATAATCTGTGCATGCCCACACTCACACACATAAAACACAACAATAATGAAGTAAAAATGGGGGGGGGGTGTAGACAGCTCTGCAAAGGACCTGGGCTTGCTTCCAGCACCAATACCCTGCCATCTGTAACTTCAGTCCCAAAGGACACAGCACCCTCTTCTGGCAGCCACAGGCACTGCATGCACATTGTGCACAGACAGACATGCAGGCAAGCACTCCTACACATAAAATAAAAATAGACCTCCCAAGACAAAGACAGCTGGGTGACCTAAAGTTTGCCTCTGCTCTCCACATGCGCACACCCATACACATGCACGCCCATACACACATGTGCACATACATGCACACACACCAAAAATGCAGAGTACAGCTTGGCTCAGTGGAGCTCACTGGCCTAACATGTGCAAGGACCAGACTCCTGATCCCAGTGCTGCAAAGAAGCAAGACAGCATCTGCCTAGTGTGATGGAGTTAGTTTTCTCAACTGGCAAGTAATTATATTAAGGATTAGTCAGTGATGTTAGGTCAGTCACTCATGATTGCTGCCCTGCTATGTCATGACAGTTTCGGATCTGAGACCTGTCACTCAAGAGCCTTGTTGGCTGGTGCTTCATGAGTCCCAGAGCCAAACAATGTATTTGATGAAATGGTTTTTCTCCATTTTCTTTTTTTGTTTGTTTTTTTGTTTGTTTGTTTTGTTTTGTTTTTTTGAGGCAGGGCTTCCCTGTGGCTTTGGAGGCTGTCCTGGAACTAGCTCTTGTAAACCAGGCTGGTCTGGAACTCTGAGAGATCTGCCTGCCTCTGCCTTCTGAGGGCTGGGATCAAAGGTGTGCACCACCACCCAGCATCCATTTTCTTAATTATTTACATGTAAAATAACCCTCTTCTGTCTGCTGGGCACCTGCTAGTTCATGAAACCCAGGCAAGAGATGGTGGTCCTGGATGGAAGCTATGTGGGACACCATTTACAGTCATCCTAGTAAACAAAGGACATTGCTGTCACCTCAGACCACTCCCGTCACTAAGCTCTGGTGGCTACAACTGATAGCTATCCCTCAAGGTGACAGACCGGGTGGAGAAAGAGGGAGCAAGGTCAAGTTGGGGAGCAATTGAAAACAGGCAAGAGGAGGTGATTCTGAAGGTTACTCAGCACTGTAACTAAATGTGAAATGGAGAGCATGACTGGATGAGGAGAGCGGCTGGCCTGTTCTAGGCTCCTGTGCTGTATGCCTTGCTTTCTCCACTTTCAAATCAGCAGTCTGAACCTGAGTTACTCCATCTAACTGTCATCTTCCTCAGCACTAAACAGGTGCCTAAACAGGTGCCATCCGCCAGTACTGCAGGAGGTGTGGCCTGATAACTGTTTTATTTGCACTAATAAACAAGTACCTGTGAACATATCAAATCATATCCATCACACCAAACGGAACCCCTCACTTGTGACCATAAAGAACACAGGGGACAGGGGGTTGTAGCAGGCACACTGACTCATCTGGTCACTTGGATACCCCTCAAGGACCAAACACCTCCAGCTCCGGTGCAGTCTCCCACCTATGGTGACTGGCACAGCCTGTAACCCAGGCCTGCCTGTGACAGCCTTGCACCTGGACAGTTCTACACCTATTGGTTATAAGGGCTGATCTGGTCCCTAGAGACTTTGTTTTTTGAGACAGGGTCTCACTAAGTAGCTCTGCCTGGCCTGGAGCTTGCTCTGTAGATCAGGCTGGCCTTGAAGTCAGATCCGCCTGCCTCTGCCTCCTGAGTGCTGGGACTAAAGGTGTGTACCACCACACTGGACCAGACCATTATTTCTGCCTATGAGTTCTCTGCCTCTGAATTCTGTAACTCAGTCTTCGTGAGTCATTTTGAAACATGTACCTTTACAAATATTTTAAATAGTGTGGGAAATAGAATGTGTACTCTGGGAGGTAATATTAGCAGTTAAGATCAGAGAGCTGGGAAGATGGCTCTGGGGAAAGTCTTACTGTGCGAGCGTGAGGACATACATACACAAGATCAGAGTAGGAGAGGAGCTGGGGAGATGGCTGGATGGATAAAAGGCTTGCACAGGTGGGAAGGCTGACATTCAAACCCCTAGGACTCAAACAGCTGGATGTGGCAGCAGATGCTTGTCCTGGGGAGCAGAGAAAGGATCCCCAGGGCAGCCAGTCTAGCCAAACCTGAGTTCCCAAGGTGGCCTGGCAACTTGCCACACAGTCCTGACAACCTGCATTGAATCCTTAGAACCACAGTGGAAGGAGAGAACTGACCTCTGAAAGTTATTAATTGCCCTCATGTGCGCATGTGCACGTGCATGTGTACACACACACACACACACACACACACACACACACACAGATGACTTTTTCAAATGTGGTAGAGAATGGTTGAGAATTACACCAAATACTAATCCCCAGCACATGTGCCACACACAAACACATGCACATACATACATTGCAATCCTCATCTATAAAGATTAGAATAAAGAACCCTTTAATCGGTGATGAGCAGACTACCAAGTAAACTCAAGGTTACTTGACACTGTGCAGCCAACACCCTGCTATGTTGTGCAGAGGCACAAATGTGCTTGCCTCTGTTTGTGAAACACGGGCCCACAGCATTAGCTGCACATGTAAAGACTTAGCTCTTAGAGGAGACTGAGGCAGAAGGATTAAGACTAGTCTGGGCTACAGAGTGAGACCCTGCCTGAAAAAAGCAGAACCTCAAGACAAAAGAGATCTTGGGCGGAGGAGATAGCTCAGTGACCGGCTTGTGCTTCCTATGCACAAGACCCTGGTCTTGACCCCCAGCACTGCAAAATAGGATGGAAGGGGTTAAATCTTTAGCTTTTAGGCCTGCTCCCTGTTCAGATTATCTGAGCCCTAACATACCTCCTCACGTGTCTGCTGCTTTGTATAAACCAGAGCCTGTCTGATTTGTTTGCAGGTCGCACTGTTTTTCTCTTGCCCCAGTGTGTGGACACTACCACACGTCCTCCAGACCAGCAACGGCTCTTGCGTGTATTTTCCAGTGTTTCTTTTGTCAGAGAGTCCGACAGAGCCATAGCTCCTCCAGTGCTGGCCTGGAGCTGAGTGACGAGCGCCCAGCAGACATGGTGAAAATGACCAAGTCCAAAACTTTCCAGGCTTATCTGCCACACTGTCACAGAACTTACAGCTGTATCCACTGCAGAGCCCATCTGGCCAATCACGATGAGCTCATCTCTAAGGCAAGTGATCTGGATTCAAAACTGATAAAACAAGGCTCGAACGCCTCTAGTCCCAGCACTGGGAGGATCTCTGTGAGTCTGAGGCCAGCCTGGTATACAAAGTAAGACCCTGCCTCAAAAAGAAAAAAAAAAAAAGTCATAAGGTAATGACAGGCAGAACTGGTTGGGAAAGACAGGGCTTTGATGACTTGGTGACAACTGCTGTTTGCCAAAATCTGTCATTTGAGCCAATAAGTAGTGAGAGTCAGGGACCATATACGGCAATTTTTCTGCAGCTTGCCAGGAATATCCATCATGGGAAGGGTCACAAAAGAAATTTGAGAAATGATTTTGACATTAGCTGTTTAGAAGATTGCTAGAAAAGGAGTGGTTTGAAACTTACCCATCGTATCAGATAAGCATTTCAAGTTGGAAGATGCCACAAATAAAACTCTTAAAAGCACACAGACTCCCAAGAGGTACAAAACCTTCACCTTAGCTGGCGATAGTGAGGGTGACTTTAGCTTTGTGTCCCTGCAACAAGGATACCTAAGAAAATCAGCCCATAAGAAAAGATGGATTTGTATTATGGCTTCAGAGGTTTCCCTGCATGACCAGGTGTCCCTCCTCCCACAGTAGGAGCAGGTGGCAGAGGAGGGTGGAAAGCAAAGAGGAAGAGACTGGTGTTGCAGTGGCCTCCGAGGTTTGCCTAAGGTGACCTAACTTCCTTCCACTGGTCTCCACCTCCTAACGTTCCCTTGCCTGCCAGTAACAGCACATTCAGGATCCAGTGACAACCATGGCAAATGCTCTGCTTTGGTGGGCTTTCTGCTTAGGGCTTAGTGAAACCGAGGAGCCCATCTCATGAGAGTAGATTCCAGCATGCTGGGAACTAGAGCCACCTCCATAAGAGCTAGTTCACCAGTCTCTGGGCGCATATTTATCACTTAACAAGGAACTCTCTGATCCACAGAAGCCCCTCCCTTCTTAAAAAAAATGGTCTCACTATGCAGCCCAGGGTGACCTCGAACTCAGAGATATGCCTGCCTCTGTCTCCTGGATGCTGAGATTCAAGTTGTGCTCAGCACATCTGGCCCCTCTGCACAGTGACTCACGGGTGTGCTCCAGCACATCTGGTCCCTCTGCGCAGGTGACTCATGGGTGTGCTCCAGCACATCTGGTCCCTCTGCACAGGTGACTCACGGGTGTGCTCCAGCACATCTGGCCCTTCTGCGAGGTGACTCACGGGTGTGCTCCAGCACATCTGGCCTCCTCTGCGCAGGTGACTCACGGGTGTGCTCCAGCACATCTGGCCCTTCTGCGCAGGTGACTCACGGGTGTGCTCCAGCACATCTGGCCCTTCTGCGCGGTGACTCACGGGTGTGCTCCAGCACATCTGGCCCTTCTGCGCAGGTGACTCACGGGTGTGCTCATGTCTCCAGTCATCCCAGATGACTTGTGCTACAGAGGAACTGTGTCTCCTGAGTCATCTCTCTCCGGCTGCCCTTCATAAACTTCTGTCACTGAGGAAAGCCCTGTGGAAAGCAGAGGGCTTGCAGAAGCTACAAGCAAAGAAAGAATTTCAGGCTGAGGAGTGTGTAAAATGTCTAGAGATGAGTGTTAGTTAAACTGAAAAGTGAACATAGAGTAATACTAAATTGCTTTAGGAGATATTCCTTTTAAGCCTGAACTCTGTATTTTATTTATTTAGTTTGTTTTTTCTCTGTGCAGCCCAGGCTGACCTCAAATTCAGATCCATCTGCTTGCTGCTCCATGTTCTATATGGGATTAAAGACATTCACCACTATGCCTGGCTGAAATCTGTATTTTAAAATCAAACTCTGGGACATAGCAAGGTGGCAGAGAGCTTGTGAGGTGCCCAGCCTCATGTTTCAAGACAAAGTCTTTCCCTAAACCTGAAGCTCTCAGATCCAGCAAACCCCAAGGATCCTCTTGTCTCCTCGAGGCACTGAGATCACAGGAGGGTGCAGCTATGCTCACAGTTTTTTTTGCCCGGGGCGGGGGGGGGGGGGGTCAAAACAGTTCCTTTGTGTAGCACGGGCTGACCTAGAACTAGTTTTTTTTTTAAAGATTTTATTTACTTATTATGTATGCAACATTCTGCTTCCCTGTATATCTGCACACCAGAAGAGAGCACCAGATCTCATAACGGATGGTTGTGAGCCACCATGTGGTTGCTGGGAATTGAACTCAGGACCTCTGGAAGAGCAGTCCAGTGCTCTTAACCTCTGAGCCATCTTTCCAGCCCCTAGAACTAGTTTTGTAGACCTCCTGAGTACTGGAATTAAAGGTGTGCACCACCACTACCTGACTTTTTCTTAAAGGTATTACAAGGATGCATGTTTTGCCTGGTGCCTGAGGTCAGAAAGGGATTGAATCCCCTGAGACTGGAGTTATAGATGGTTGGGAGCCACCATGGGTACTGGGATTCAAACCCAGATCCTCTGCAAGAGCAGCCAGTGCCCTTAACTGCTGAGCTACCTCCAGCTCCATGCTTGGCTTTTAACATCTTTCAAGATTTATGTATATGTGTGGGAATATTGAGCCCCTGGGTGTAGGTGTCTTCAGAGGTCAGAGGTATCGGATCCCCTGGAGCTGGAGTTGCAGGGTTGAGAGCAGCCCAAAGTGGCTGAGGGGAATCCCCCTCCGGTCCTCTGTAAGGGTGGTGTGTACTTTCAACTGCTAAGTCATCTCTCCAGCTTCCCTCCCCCATTTATAGGTGGGCTTCACTGCTGGGCCTCAATAAACCATGGCTCAGCCTCCCAAGTAGCTGAGCTACAGTCACAGAATGACTTTATTTCCAGTTTTTCTGAGGCAGGGTCTAGCCATGTAGCTGGCTTGGAACTTGCAATGTGGGCCAGGATGGCCTTAAACCATCTGCCTCTGCTCCAGAGGACTAAATTACAGACTTTTTTTTCCTCTTTAATGTCACTAAAAAAGTACAGAAACTTCCACTTGTCCCCTAATACCTGAAGATAGTGAGGTAATAAGGTGGCCAGAGAGATGGCCCAGTGTTACAAAGTGCTTACCACTCTGCAGAGGGCCTGAATTGGGTTCCCAGCACCAACATGATGGCTCACAACTTCCTTCAATTCCAGTTTAAAGGGGTCTGGTACCCTCTTCTGACTTCCAAGGGCTCATTCATGCATATAGTGTACATCTTTTCACCCAGGCACGCACGCAAGCATACATAAACACACACACACACACACACACACACACACACACACACACAAACACCCCACAGACACACATATATACATAGAGAGGTGAGAAAAGAGCCTCTTTGTTTATTTGTAGGGCCTCTAGAGTCCCTGAGGACAGCCATGTAAACAGACAGAGCCTACTCTACTGTTTAAAGTTGATTTGCTATGACTTTCTCTTAACTGTTATCCAGGCCAACCTTGAACCCAAGTTGAAGCATTTCTCCTACCTGAGTGTTTGAAACTGGGGCTGCAGGTGGTCCTAGTGTGCAGCTCTGGTGTGCTGTGGATTTGTAGTGCAGACGATTGCACGATGATGCCCCACCCTCTTTCTGATGACATCCAGATGCAGAATTGTTATTTGAAGTTGGGAGGCAGTGTCTGCCGTGTGCTTTTGTGACCTGACTCAGAAGATGTCCAATCCACGGGGCTTCAGGAATTGCACTTGTGGGGGTGACTGGTAGCCTAAGTGACTGCACCTGCTCCTCCCAGAAAGCACAGCTTCTAGCATCTTGCCTGACCCCCTGCTAATACCTTCTTCTTCTTTGCAGTCCTTTCAGGGGAGTCAGGGGCGAGCCTACCTCTTCAACTCTGTGTGAGTACGTGCTGTCACTAGTGTGCCTGGTTCTGTCCCTTGGCCTGCTTGGTTGTTAGGAGCTGGGGTTGTAACTGAGCTGCACAGTGTCTTGATCAGCTGGGAAGAATCTAGCCTACTGCATCTGTTTTGAAAGCACAGTTGTTGTGTCGGAGAGTTGAGCCTCCAAGCCTGACCCTTTAAGATTGCCTTGGTGGGCTGGGTCTGGCTCAGTAGTAGAGCAATTGCTCAGCATGTGTGAGGCCCTAGGTTTGATCCTGAACACCATAAAGACATAAAAAAAAAAAAATCCCCTCTTGCTAAAGTGGGGAGGGGAAAGGGGGCTGGGCAAGGGGACCTCCAGCACAGTCACCCTGTGTTTTGACAGGGTGAATGTGGGCTGTGGCCCCGCTGAGGAGAGAGTCCTTCTAACTGGGCTGCATGCAGTGGCCGACATCTACTGTGAAAACTGCAAGACTACCCTCGGGTGGAAATACGTGAGTACCTGGGCCTGGAGAGGGATGGTAATATCATTCAAACACTGCAGGTTCTCATGGGGACACAGCTCAGCGGGTAGTGCTTCAAAGGTATGCGCAAAGCCTTCTGTCCCCACAACTTCATAACACCTGTCATGGAGCCAGCCACATGGCTCAGTGGGTAAAAGTGCCTGCCACCAAGCCTGAGAGGCAGCCTGGGTCTGACTCCTGGATCCACACGGGGAAGAGAGAACCAGATCTTGCCACTTTTCCTTTGAGTGCCACAGCACACACATGCATTCCCGTGTATGTGTGAGACAATTGAACACTTCTGTGTGCATGATTGTGTGTGTATGCGTGTAAAGCACACATTTCTGTATGCATGTCCCTGTGTGTATGAAGTACACAGTTCTGTATGCTTGTTCCTGGGAGTGTGTGACATGCACACATCTGTGTATTCTCATGTGTGTGTCATTATACATGTGCCTGTGTGTGTGTGTGTGTGTGTGTGTGTGTGTGTGTGTGTGTGTGTGTGTCCATCTGCCACTTCTGTATGCATGTTACCATGTGTGTGTGACATGCCCACTTCTGTATGCATGTTCCCATATGTACACCTGGAAGCCAGAAGCTGATATTCGACGTCTCCCCAATGTCTGCTTAGTTTGCTAAGGCAAGTGTTTTCCCAAGTGCAGAGCTCATTCTGAGCCATTTGGACCCAGGGATCCTATCTGCCTTCCAAGCTCTGTGACTGCAGGCAGCTGCCATATCTGGCCTGCTCTTACATGGGACTTAGGGAACCAAACTGTAGTCCTCATGCTTGTGTGGACAGCATTTTATCCACTGAACAATATTCCCAGCCCTGTGCTGTTTGGGTTCTGGATTCTCATAGGACATGGTGGTCTGCTCTTTCCTTGAATTCCTGAGTCTTCCAAACTCCTCATGAACTGCAAAGAGCCAGACACAATCCCACAAAGCACTGACTCTGGGAGACCCATCCCCTCACCTGGTTGGCCCTGTGTCTCCAATCCCTCTCTTGTCCTCCCTTGTAGTGAGAGCATGCTGCTCGCTGCTGATGCACCTGCTGGGACTCCTGTACCAATCACCAGGACTCATCTCAGACAATGTGTCCCCAGCACCTCACCAAGCCACATGCTATAAAATGCTAAGGGAGCGTTCATGGTTGTACACCATAAAGGGTCTGCTCTTGGGCTGGGAAGATGATTCAGTTGGGAAAGTGCTTGCTATACAAGCAAGAGGACAAGTTCAGATCAGTATCACATATGTAAAAGGCAAGGTGTGACAGCATATGTCCATAACCCCAGTGGTAAGGAGGCAAACAGGTTGCTGGCCAGCCAGCCTAGCCGAATTAGTGAGCCCTAGTTCAATGCAAGGTCTTGTCTCAAGTGAATGGGTTGGAGGATGGCTCAAGGGCTAAAAGCACTGGCTACTCTTCCAGAGGTCCTGAGTTCAATTCCCAGCAACCACATGGGGGCTCACAACCATCTGTAATGAGATCTGACACTCTCTGGTATGCAGGTATACATGCAGGGCCCTCATACATGAAATATAAGCAAATATAATTTTTAAAAATTTGCCAGGTGGTGGTGGCACACGCCTTTGATCCCAGCACTGGGATCTCTGTGAGTTTGAGGCCAGCCTGGTCTCCAGAGCGAGTGCCAGGATAGGCTCCAAAGCCACACTGAGAAACCCTGTCTCAAAAAACCAAAATAAAATAAAAAATAAAGTGATAAGGGGACTGGAGACATAGGGCTCAGCAGTTAAGAACACTAACTGCTCTAACAGTTCAATTCCCAGCACCCACATGGGGCAGACAGCAAACAAGTTCCAGGGGATCCAGCACCTTCTTCTAGTCTCCATGGGAACTGCATGTGCATGATGCATAGCTATGCAAAGGAGACATGCAGGGTTACACCCATAAATAAAATAACATCACCATCAAATCAAATAGAGTTGGCAGGGTGGCTCAGCAGGTAAGATCACGTCTGCACAAGCCTGATGACCTGAGTTCCCTCCACAGAACCCATGATGGAAGAAGAGAGTCCCAACTGCTGTCTTCTGACCACCATAGTAATAATTAATAAAACTTAAAAGTGGAGGGTGGGGCTGGAGAGATGGCTCAGCGGTTAAGAGCACTGACTGTTCTTCCAGAGGACCTGAGTTCAATTCCCGGCAACCACATGGTGGCTCACAACCACCTTGAATGAGATCTGGTGCCCTCTGCTGGCATGCAGGTAGAAGACTGTATAGATTGTATCCATAATAAATAAATAAAATATTTTTAAAAAGTGGAGGGCAATCAAAGCATCAACCTCTGGCACACACACACACACACACACACACACACACACACACACACACACACCACCCTCACTTAATGTGAGCAGTTGTCTATTCCCATTACTCTCCTCACACACACACAGCCACTGCCAAGTGAACGGTTTGTTTGCTGCTGGGGATGGCACTCAGAGCCACAGGCATAACAAACAGCACACAAGCTGCAGCCCCAGAAACAGGTTTGAGTTAACATTGCTCCTAAGTGTGACAAGCCATTCAAAATCACTCTGTGCTGACCCACGGATCCTCCTGGGCCTGGCTCAGTGCCCAGCTCAGAGTGTCTGGGTGGAGATGATAATGCTGCAAACTCCACTGTTTACCAAGACTATAATAGAACAGGAAATAAAAGTGTGTCCTGCCTGAAACTTTCTCTCTACTTTTCCCCTCAAGGAACATGCCTTTGAGAGCAGTCAGAAATACAAAGAAGGAAAATTTATTATTGAACTTGCCCACATGATCAAAGACAATGGCTGGGAGTAGAGCGAAGCGGTCCACTCCTGTCCAAGTACTGTTATGAAAGATGAGTGTGACGAAGGCCTGGCTTCTGGGGACAATACTTCTTGAACTTTGACCTCACGGGCCAGCCCAGTTCAACACTTGGAGGCCTCTCTCTAGGCTGTTTTCTGGGTAAGGTGTCCCCATCTGAGCCCCCTTCATGTACACTGTTGTTTCTGGAAGTTTGCATTCTTTTTCTACCTTCTTCCATTCTAGAGAAAGAATTAACCAACTGATGACTCACCTGCCTAGTTAATAACTGTACGCCTTCACCATAGTTTGGCTGTGTTTCCACCAAACCTAAGTCCCTAAAAGCACAGAAAAAGGGTCTCACACAAGCAAGACATAGAGGCCACTTAAGAATCTTCCAGAAATAGTCAACAGATTTACATGTAAAGCATATGGCTTTAAAACTGAAGGCAGCCACTGGTAACATGTTAGAGAAGCTAAAGAAGAAAGGCTCAGTGTGCTTTATTTAAGCCAACATCCCCATTCCCTTGTGTAGAAAGCTTGTGACTAGTGGCTAAGCATTCTGTCCCTAGGCCTACAGAAGGCTGCCACTGAGGTGACCCCCAAGTACTGCTACAGCACAGCAGCTCATATGTGGGGCTGGTCCCTGTCATAGAGCAGCAAGCTGGGGTTCACTTTATCCCCTGGATGTACTTGAAATACAATTAGTCATGCATGGAAACTTGAGAACTTGAGATTTTCTGTGATAAAAGAAGAGTTATCTTAGTGTGGGAGCCGCCTTTCCTTCCTGGGACCACCTCATGACCTGACAGGGAGGGATCTGGGCCATCCCCCAGGCCCTACATCTTACAGATTTTAAGTCGCAACCTGAAATCCTCCACGCATCTACAAGGAGTGGCCAATTAGCAGAAGATGGAGGCCAGAACCATTCCCAGATAAGTTTTGTGTTTCAACTTTCTGTACTGAACACAGGGCAGAAGAGCAGAAAGGCGGCCTGGGAAGGCTAAGCACCTTAAGCTGGGAAGGCAGCATGGCAGAAAAGTCGCAGCTGCTGCCTGGGGTATGCTTAGTCCAAGAGCAGTTTCTAGTCCTTTGGACTCCCAACCCCAAACCTAAGCCCAGATCCTCTGGCCAGCACAGGCACTTCTTCATTTGGCTGCTCCAGCTCCCTGCTCACTCCAAAGCCTACATTTTGGAGCCATGTCTTTACCCAAGTGTGGAAGCCTGGTAGTACAAGAAATGCCTAGGCAATGTAAGACATGTTTGCATGGTCTATGAGCCTCTATGCCCAGTCCTGGCCGAAGCTGCTTTCTCCCCAACTATGTCCTGGTTCCCTCTAGACTAACCCAAAGCAAGGTTACTCTACCCAGTAAGGTAACTTCTGAAGTCCAACATAGGCAGCTAGTCTGTGTGAAACCTAGCAGGGCCCATACTCCATCCTTGTCTAGAATGAACACTAGCCAACAGTCAACACCCTGGCTAATTCTCAGTACTCTTGCAAGTGGGAACTTGGTAGCTGAGGCTTGAGAGACCAGATGTCACCATCAGGAGGAAAGGTGAGGGCACTCTGAATATATATATATATATCCCCATGAATGCTTCACTTAAATTGAAGAACCCAGAGTCCTCCTGACCAGTTTTTGTATATACTAAGATTATATCTACAGCTTTTTATGTTCTGGGCAAGCTTTCTGCCCTTCTACTTGAGCACTTTGTATTGTCTTTTGTGACAGCATTGATTGGAAATTTTTTGCTAATACTCTTTATGACTTATTTCGTATTGGGGGGTAATGGATATCAACAAAACTTTTATGGAGTTTTTTGGATTTTGTGTTGGCCTTCTGTGATATATAAACTTTTTAAATCAAAAGAACTGACCATGAGCTGGCTTCAGGGGAAGTGATGCAAAACCACAACCAGATGTGCTGATAAACTGTGAAACGATCCCACCTTCTTCAGTTTCTACAGTATCGTTCTGTGACTATGTAGAAATGTTTTCTTCAGAGCACTGGGAGGTGACTGACACCAGGTCACAAACGCCACCCCGCTTTAGAAATGTGGGTTATTTTGTTGCTGTCTTGTTAGCATAGTCATAGTATTTTTATATTTAATGCTTATTCTTGATGGCATCAGTCGAGTATTTGAAAAGCTCAGAAATGAGATTTTCTTTTTCTTTAAAAAAGTCCTTTATTTTCTGATGACCTCATCGGGCAGTTTTCAAAATCCAAGTGTCATTACTGCCTAAAAAGCTACCATTTAAGCTCTGTACAAGCGGTGGGAATGCAGGCCCTGGCAGGGCCTGTTCTCTATCCTGAAAGACAAGAGCGGAAGAGGATGCAGCTGCCCTTGGGACAGGTATAGGCTCTAGGTAAGGCTGACCGGACAGTGACCTGGAAGCAACTGGGAATTCACCATGAGTAGCAGGACCAACAAGCTCAAGCATACAAAGCGTCCTTGGTCTCCCTGTCCCTGGCAAAGCTGTCGCCCTTGGTAGCTTGTCTGTGAGGAATAGAAATAAAGCTGCTGTTGTCAACAAGGTTTCCAGAGTGTGCGCTGTCTTGGAGGTAAGGCCTCACCGTGCAGGGATAACCACACTTTCTTGCAGCATCCACTGGGAACAAAGGATGTGTCAAGGTTTCAGAGCCCTTGAGGACCCAGGCTTCTGGGAGCTTGGTGCTTCTCTGACACCACCTTGTAGGGGCTTGTAAGTGTGGCCTAAGAAAATACGAGAATACAGTCAGACACTGCTCTGTCTGTCCAGAGAGTCCTTGACTCTCTAGCTCTGGACAAAGTCTCACCATCTACCTCTTTTGGTTTTTGTTTTTGTTTTAGGGGACAGGTATGTGGCCTTGACTGGCCTAGATGTGCAATGACTTCCCAAGACTGAGACTATAGATGCAGTGTCACTGTGTCTGCCCCCGCCCATGACCTGCCATATTGTGAGATTATCAGCTTGCCTACAGCAGAGGCATCAACAGAGGGTCCTGAAAGGGTAGAGGAATGCAGGGTGGAAGGACAATGTGGAGTCTGAACTGACACCCACAGGCAGGTGGCTTAGTGGGCTGGAAAAGTGCAGCTGGCCTGTGAGCAAGCCTCAAAAACAGCCAGTGATGAGCAGCAGTCACACCCTGAGATCATGCAACAGCTCCTGGAAGGGGTTGAGGGGGAAGGCAGGGCAGTCAGCATGGATGCAGTCTCCTCCCATAAATACAAAAGGCTTAGACTATGGTTTTAACATCAGAGTTGAAAAGAAGTACAAGGCTACAAGAACTTCTGAGATTTTGTGGATACAAGGTTTGGGGCAAGATAAGAAAAGAATAAGTTACTTAAATGTGACCCCCTAGACAAGCTCTCATCAAGTGATTAGCGCCACAGAATACATGATGCTGCCTCCAGAGGGGAAAATCTGCCCACACTTAAGGTAAAGCAATGAAGAACAGATGGCTCTAAGCTGTTTGGACATATAAAAGCCAATGACAAGACAAGATTTTTTTCAAGGTAGAGACAACTGTCCTGGAAGCAAAAGGGGTTGGTAAGTCAGGCACAGCTCACACCTTTAATCCTAGCACTTGGGGAGGTAGAGGCAGGTGGATCTAGGAGTTCAAGGCCAACTTGATCTTACAGAGTGAATATCAGGACAGCCAAGAATATACAGAGGGTTCCTGTCTCAAAAATAAGGAGTTGGTGACTGTCAGGAGAAAGGAGTCAGCAGGGAGGCCACCTCTTCATGGGGGACCTTGTGCTGTCATCACAGCTCACCAAGGTATGGCTGGTACTGAAAGCAACTGAGAGGAGAGGCCACTGAGCATGCCTGTCACTGCCAGTGCTTGTGAAAGTGGTGTCAACAGAAGGAAGCCCATGGGATCTTGTCAAAATAGCCTGGGAATACAATCCTCAGGATCCAAACCAGGGTCTGAGAAGCAACCTCCATCTCCATTCATAAATCTCTTTTGAGACACTCTTCCCTGTGTAGCCCAGGTTAGCCTTGAACACTCAACCCTCCCACCTTGGTATTATGCTGTATTATAGCAGCCCCTTGATAATCTGTATTTCTAAGAGGATACAAAGCTGGTAGCACTAGAGTACACAAGCCATCCTGAGGCAGAGGCATCTTGGGTAGGGGTAAAGGATACAGCCTTCCTCACTAACCCAAGACAGGTCCATTGGCACCAGATGAGGGATGAGGAGGCCAGGGGCCCCAGGGGCCAAAACTAGACCCAGCCACAGGCAAGAGGTTTATTGGCTCATAGCCCAAACTGACAAGGGCAGACAGAGACAGACCCTGAAGCCCACAGCCCTGCACCATACCAGGATTCATGAGCCAGCCTGCTGCTACCAGGAGCTGAAGTCCCCAAAGCCCCGGCTGGGCTTCTTCTTGGCCATGGGGACAGCCGTGCTGGTTGATGGCTCTTCCTCTGCTGCTCGTTTCCTGAGACACAAAGAAAGCTACTCCAGTTGGCACCAAAGAGTCAGGTGCCCATACTGAGTCCTCTGCTGAAGCACCATACAGCTTTCTCTTCAGTGTCCTCTCTACAAAGTGCTGCTCCCACTGTCCCAACCATTAAAGCATCGTTGGCCTGCACAGGGGCCTTGTCTAGACCCCTTAGCTGTAGTCTCCAGTCTGGTCTGTGGTGTTCTTGCCACCACCTGGTCACCCCCAAGGAGCACTATGAAGAGAGGTCCCAGCTTCCAGAGAAAGAGGAGAGATGCCACTCATCAAGCATACTCACGTGGCTGCTGGGTTGATGTACTTGCCCACCCCCTGGCGGTATGTCTGGGGGCCCTGCTTCCCAGGCTGGGACTGGCTCAGCTTGACCTTAGCCTCTGGATCCACTTGCTGCTGTGTCTTCTTCCGCTCTTGGGCAATCTGGGGATATAGCAAAAATGTCTGATCCGGAGCCCCAGGGTGGGGTCTTCTCACTCCTAGCTAGGAGGGAGGGCAGTGTCTGACCCAGAGCCTCAGGGTGTGTCCACCTGCTCCCAACCAACGACATGACTTGCCTGGCACCTTCCTCACCTGGGCATCAGCCTCCTCATAAGGATCCACAAACACTGTGGTTGCACATATACACACTTCCTCCTGATGGAAGAAAGGCTCTATGAATAGGTAGCAGATTCCCCCAGCCAGCACCCAGTAGGCAGTGGTCTGTTCTCCCTTGGTACATACCTTAGGACGGTCAGTTTTGGGGTCACTCTCCACATTCTCCATAGCTGTCAGTGTGTCAAAACCCCCAACAACCCTGTAGCAGAGGGACAGAGCTGGGTCTCTGTGTACCCTGAGCAGAGTCAAGATCTATGGCAGTGTCAAGACACATTAGGAGGAGGACTGGCAGACAGTGGAGGGCCTCGGAGGCTACACTAGTCACCAGGCAGGACAGGATGAGCCAAAGCAGAGGAGGGGGCAGCAAACCACACTCAGCCGTTTGCTGACTAAAATCTTATTTGTTTCCATACTTTGTTTTCTTCCAGTTTGCTAAGGCAGGGTCTTAAATAATCCAGGCTGACTAGGAACTAACTGATCCTTTGTACCTAGCTCTCTTTCCCCCCATAACTTTGTAACTGAATCATCATCACAGAGTGTGTCCTTTAGGAAAATCTGCTGACCCTCAGACTATGGGCTGAGGAGAAAGGGGAATGTGCTTCAGACACCCAAAAAGGTGCCCTGAGAAGGAAGAGGAGCTAGAGCCGCCTGGGCCTCCTCTCCTTGGCTCCACAGGCCTGAAGAGCCAACCTTCCTCCACAGAAATACCCACAGTCCTCACCGGGGACTGCATGAGGATAATCCCCAGGTCCACACTGCACTGCGAACATGCACAGCATCTGCTCTTACCGTCCGAAGATAGTGTGCTTCTTATCCAGGTAAGCACAGGAGCGAAATGTGATGAAGCTGGGGAAAGCACATGGAGGTCAGGGAAGCAGCAGGCTGGGCCACCCAGCATACTCTAGTTGTAACAACGACTGCTCCTCAGTGGAAGCCACCTGCCCTTTCCCAAGTAAATCCAGACCTCTGGAGAAAGCCCAGAGCTCGGCTGCCAACATCCCATGAGAGCCAAGCAGGAGACAGTGGAGGCTTGAGCTCGCTATCCAACTATCTTCAGGAGGCAATGGTTAGGGGTGAAGTAAACAGGCCATGTATGTGCAGCCTGGAGGGAGCCCTAGACTATAGCCTATAAGTGGGTGACAGCAGAACGCTGGAAGACATCAGACAAAAGGAGGAAAGTACAGCTGGGTGTGGTGTGGGGACTCACAGTGAGCCCTCATCCCTGAATAAAATAAATACTATGGAAAGCAGGAAGTTTATGGGATGGGTTGCAGTGCAGTCCCTACACAAAGTGGTACATGAACTCAGCCCTATTGTGACAACAGGACACAAGCCTCATCCTGACAGCCCACAGAGACCCTTCAGTGAGTAATGAAGATGCATCACCCTGCAAGCAAGGGCACTCCTAAGGTCACCAGGCAAGTCATGGAGCCCACACCTATGCACAGTCTAAGCCTTCACACTGGCTGAACTCCTGTTATTGCCATTGGAACAAGGGCTCATTGGCTATGCTATGGAACCAAGGATGACTGAATTGATCAGACCTAGCTCTCTTGAATTTCTAACATAATAAAGGAAGCTAGAAAAAGAATGAAATGAACCTGGAAAAAAAAAAAAAAGAGGCAAGTAAAAAAACAACAAAAATGCAACTGGAATATTTAGGTTTTGTTCAAGTTTTTGAAGAGACTGTAAGGAAATGCTGACAAAGGAAAGCTGTCACATGTCCTGGAGAAAGGGCTCAGCAAACAAAAGTGAGCGCAGCTCTTTCAGGGTACAAACTCAGCCCGTGCCAAAAGAAAATGACTCTACGTGCACACCTCTCCTAGCCATACAAAGCAGCAACAGCTCAGTCACATGACTAGAGACAGATTTAAAAACTAGACCTCTGACAACAGAGCCACCTATCCTGACAAATGTTAGACTACAAAATCACATTTCATTTGGAGCAGGACACACATGTGCCTACCTCCAACACCCAGTGACAATGTGACTGATGTGCACATGGGAAGTTGAAGATGTCTCCTCTTCTGATAAGTTCAAAAATCTACAAAGAAACTCTTCATATAAACTTAGGAGAAATGACTCTGCAATTAAAAGCACTGGCTGCTCTTCCAGGACAAGAGTTCTATTCCCAGTACTTACACTCACAATCACCTATAACTTCAGTTCCAGGGACCAGGCCCTCTTCTGTCCTCCTCTGGCATCAGGCACAAACTTACATGCAGTATACAGACATACACGTAGGCAAAACACCCATACACATTAAAAAAATTTGGTTTTGTTTTTCAAGATAGAGTTTCTCTGTGTAGCTTTGGAGCCTTTCCTTGAACTCACTCTGTAGACCAGGCTGGCCTTGAACTCACAGAGATCCGCCTGTCTCTGCCTCCCAGATGCTAGGATAAAAGGCATGTGCCACCACCGCCTGGCTAAAAAATTTTCTTAATTTTTTTTTTTTTTTTTAAGATTTGATTGTAGGGGCTGGAGAGCTGGCTCAGCAGTTAAAGAGCACTAACTACTCTTCTGGAGGACCCAGATTCAATGCCAGCACCCACATGGCAACTCACAACTGTCTGTAACTCAAGATCCAACACCGATACCCTCGTACAGACATACAAGCAGGCAAGACACCAATGCATATTAAAAAAATTAAAAAAGAGGATTTGACTAGCTGTGTGATGGCCCACACCAGCAATGTCAGTACTCCAAGGCAGAGTTCTAGTACAACCAACCAGGGCTACATAATGAAACTTTGTATCAATATAAGTTGGCATGGTGGCCCACACCTTTCATCCCAGCACTCAGGAGGCAGAGGCAGGAGACTCTGAGAGTTTGAGGCCAGTCTGGTCTACAGAGGAGTTACAGGACAGCCACGGCTACACAGAAAAACCCTGCCTTGAAAAAAAAAAAAAAAAATCAACAAATACTAAAATTCCTTTGTATAACATTATCCAGGAAGTCAGAAGATCCACATAAAGAAAATGACAAAACTGAGCTGACAAGCTGGCTTGGCATGTGAAGACACCTGCTGTGTTAGGCCTGGCAGCCTGGATGTGATGACTGGATGCCATGGTGGAAGGACAGTCCTGACCCTACAAAGCTGTCATCTGACCTCCACACGCACACTGTGGCATGAATACCCTCACATAAAATAAGCTGTAATCAGCTGTGATGGGGCATGGTTTTGTCTTTTTTTAAATGATAGCCACCTTTAAAGACACCTTTCATAAACAAGATAGTTAAAGAAGAAATGGACAGAACATTTTTTAAAGATTTTTTTTTTATTATTATTTTATGTGCATTGTCTGTGTGAGGGTGTCAGATTCCCTGGAACTGGAGTTATAGAAAGTAGTGAGCTGCCATGTGGGTGCTGGGAATTGAATCCACATCCTCTGGAAGAACAGCCAGTGCTCTTAACCACTGAGCTATCTTTCCAGTCCTGATGGTGAAAGTTTTTAAACACAGCACCCAGTATACAGAGACAGGCAGAAACCAGCCTGGTGTACACAGTGAGTTCCACAAGAACCAGGACTACATAATGAGAACCGGTTTCAAAATATTTTTAAAAAAAGAAAATAACAAAACTATACTCCATAGATAAAAGATATACCCTGGATGGAGACAGTTCTCAATGGTAGAACATGTATTTAGCATGCACAAAGCCTTGGGTTCACACCCCAGCACAAAAAAGAAAAAAAAAAAGACATATCCAGGAGAATTAAGCCACATTATTTGATTAAGATTTGATGAAGAATAGAATACAATACAAACCTATTCCAAAACACAAGACCAGACATCCAAGAGCCTTACCACCCACTACCACACACACTGGGCTCTGATAAGCCAGAGCCTTAGTACCTCTTCCTGGCCTTTTGTCCTCAGAATACCTCCTCCCAAAGCACTGGACCAGCAACCTTGCATGGCACCTGGTACCCACACACTCCTGGTTTTCCTGTTGGACCCCAAGAGGCCTTTGGGAACCCACTCATGACCACTATTCTACCAGCTGACTTGGGCTCCTTTCCTGGAGACGCCTGTGCTCCACCTGACTGAACACCCCCTTGCTTGGATTTGACTTGGGCCCAGCACAACCTTTAGGGACAACGCCAGGCGCTTTGCAAACCATCCTAGCAGCTGAGCAAGAAAAGCTGGACTCACAACTGAGACTTGTTGGTGTTGGGCCCCGAGTTGGCCATGCTGAGCACTCCACGGCCTGTATGTGAGAGGTTGGGGCGGAACTCATCTTTGAAAGGCTTGCCCCAGTAGGACTCTCCACCTGGAACAGAAGAGCAGAGTCAGTGGTCAGCCACAGAGCCTTGTCCAGAAGCAGAAGACAGCGACCAGGCCCTGAGACACAATTCTTGATGACCCCTAGATCCTAGTGCCTTCCTCAAGCTGGAACTGCTCACTCACCCTGTGGGCCAGGGGCTACAGGGCCAAAGATACAAGGCATCATTCAAACACATGGATGGAAGTCATACTTGACCCATGCAGCTGAAAGCTTGGGGAAAAGACTATTATGCCTTGTAGGGGCCATGGGGCCACCTTATATTATTATGACAGGAGGGCATGGCCAAACCTCCTGTCAATGAGCAAGCAGGTGGGTTCCTCTGTCTTGTTATGGTAAGACCCCAGGCTTAAGAAAGAAGAAATGATCCTCACTGTGGGAAAACTAGGGCATGCCCAGGTGGCCCAGGAGGCCAGACACTGAGTTGCAAGCCACCCCCCACCCCCGACTGAAAGACTCCACATCTAGGGCTCTTCAGCAGACCCAACTTCCCGCCAGGCCCCATAGTACAGCTACATGCATTACTCCAACAGAACAGGCCTGGCACCAGCACTTACCTGTGCCTGTACCTGTGGGGTCACCGCCCTGGATCTGCAAAAAACAAAACTCAGTGAGGTCACCGGCTCTGATGCTGCCTATCACCCACTGCTCATGCGGCCTACTAACGGGACAGGCTTCCCAATGGCATGTGCTGCAGTGAGGACAGGGACCTCCTCTCTGACCCCCAGGTCTTCCAGGGCAAGCACTCAAGAGCCAGCTACAGGATCCCTGGCACAATATACACCTGAAGACCTTATCCTGGACACACATAGCCTGAACCAGGTGTCTCTGACAGGGCAGGTACAAGCCCATTTGGTCACGGATGCTGCCCGTGTCATCAAGCATCTATGGCCAGCACCAACCTGTACCACTCACCACAAAGTTCCTGATGGACCTGTGAAAGATGGTGCCGTCATAATACTGTTTCTTGCAGAGCTTGATGAAGTTTTCACAGGTTTTTGGTGTCTGTAAAATATCCCAATATTCTATGAGGCACAGTGGTCAACAGCACAGTTACAATGACAAGTAGCCCTTTAATCACACCAGGAGCAACTGTCTGCAGACCTTGCTTCAGTCTGACCTCCAAAAGCTAAACAACAGAGTCCTACAGCCATGTGACACATGGCAGAGCAGAGCCAGTCCTGTTCCTAGGATCTGCATACACACCCAGCAACAGCAGCCAAGGAGGTGTGCTATGTTGCTTAAAGTCCAGGGAAGGAAGCCAGGGCACACTGGTTCTCAGCTGGAGTCAGGCACGATTTCTTCAAAGTAAACTAACTACAGCCCCACATTTAAGACATGGCTACTCAAATACCCCAGAAACCACCTGGGAACAGCCACATACTCACCAGGTCACAGTGCAGCTCTAGGTTAAGGTCGCCCTTGTTGGTGTGTAGCCTCACATAGCCCTTCTTCTTCACAAACTGGTAGCGCAGTACATCTTCATCAATGACGGCTGCAAACAAGCCCTGAGCTCTGTACGTGCTCTGTACCTGAGGTAGCACCTCCACTCAGGCCCATGGCCTGTCACACAAGATCTGCACCAATGAGCCTCCCCCAGCTCTGAGAAGAATGCAGGAGCCATAGGCTAAGGGAGATCATTTCAAGGACAATATGATGCTAGAGGCTCTAGGGACCTGAGAGCAGAGCACTTCAAGACAAGGGCAAGACCTTATGGTCAGAGTTCCTCCTGACTCAACACCAAGCCCACCTTCCTTCCACAAAGCACCCCCACCACAACTACTGACCACCAGACTCCAAGTGAAGGCACAATAGGGATGCTGAGGCAAGTAAGCAGGAAGCCCTAATTGCTCCCAATGTGAAGTCTGTCCCAGTGAACAGAAGACGTAGAGACAGCTACCTGCTTCATGCGTGGTCTCAGGTACCATGGCAGTAGAGGTGAAGGACGCACTGACCTTTCCCGTGGAATAGTGGGCCTGCAAGAAAACCATGTGTGCTGGGCGTTGGTGGCACATGCCTTTAATCCCAGCATCAGGACGCAGAGGCAGATGAATCTCTGAGTTCGAGGCCAGCCTGATCTACAGAGAGAGTTCCAGGACAGGCTCCAAAGCTACAGAGAAACCCTGTCTGGGGCTGGGGTGGGGATGGGGGGACGGGACAACAATTGAAGGCTTAGTTGAGGGATTCAGAGCCCAAGGCCTCAAACAGGTTGAAACTAACAATATTAAGTCAAGACAGGAAGAACCTCACAGGTGTAGCCTTCTCCCAAGACAGGAATAAGAAGGCACCTAGAAGTTTATTTCTAAAAGTTTCTTTTCTGTTTGTTTTTTGTTTTTTGAGATACAGTTTCTTTGTAGCCCTGGCTGTCCTAGAACTCAGAGACCTGTCTGCCTCTGCCTCCTGAGTGATGAAATTAAAGGCATGCACCACCACACCCAGCTGGTTACTTTCAAAAAAAAAAAAAATTATGTTGCCGGGTATGGTGGTGCAGCCTTTTGTCCCAACACTCTGGAGTCAGAGGCTGTCAGATTGATGAGAGTTCAAGGCCAGCCTGGTCTACAGAGTTCCAGAAACAGCCAGGGCTACACAGAGAAACCCTGTCTCAAAAAACAAAAAACAAACAAAATGATTTTGTGTACATGTGTTCTGCTTGCATGTACATCTTTGTACCACGTGCATGCCTGGTGCCCTCAGAGATCAGAAGAGGGAGTCAGAGTCGGATCCCCTGAATGGTTGTGAGCTGCCATGTAGGTGCTGGGAACCAAACCTGGGCTCTCAATAAGGACAAAAAGTGTTCTTAACCACTGATCCGTACATATTATGGATCAGTAACATATTACTAACCCAGTGATATTATTTTCAGTAAACACATGATCTCTTCAATGGGGGAGGAAATTTTTTTTTTTCCATATAAAGGGAAGAAAAAATAAGAGAGGACAGTTCAACATGACAGTACCAAGAGGTGCAATGCCCATGTTCAAATAGGGAAATTTTTTTGAGGGGGGGTTCAAGAGAGGGTTTCTCTATGGCTTTGGAGGCTGTCCTGGAACTAGCTCTCGTAGACCAGGCTGGTCTCGAACTCACAGAGATCAGCCTCCAACTCACAGAGATCTGCCTGCCTTTGCCTGCCGAGTGCTAGGATTAAAGATATGCACCACCACCACCCGGTTCAAACAGGGAAACTATAGACAATGAACTTTATTTAATTTTCCAAATTTTCCTGGGTAACTCCCTATATGGGAGACCCACCTCTGCCTTTCCCATGGCTGAGGCTTTCTAGGCTCGGCCTAAATGGGAGGACAGCACCTATCAGCTAAATGTGCTGGAGAAATTCCAGCAAACACAGACAGTTGCAGACAGGACCTCGGGCAGACCAGCACCTGCGCCCCAGGTAAGGCCTAAGCAAGGTCAGAGACCTCAAGACCCTGGCAGTCCCAGCCCCCCCTTCCATCTGTCCTGAAATGGAGAAGCCGCCTCTGAACATCAGACTCACGGTAGTTTGGCATTGAAGCCTGGGTCAGAGCCCACAGCACAAAGCAGACCTACTTCTGCTGATCCACTGCTGCCACAGGACCCCAGCTTGTCAAACATTCCTCCACCCCAAAAGTGTACTACGCCCTTCTGATTTGTTTGGAGCCAGGTCACCTCAACAGCCCTGGAGGGCCCCACAGGACTGGGAGGGTCCCAACCACCACACCTCCAGGTCCATCTCTGTTAGCACCTTCCCCAGCATTTTACCACTGGTCAGAGGCAGAGACAGAGCAACCCACTCACAGCATTCAGTTGGTCCACCTTCCTCTTCTCAGGTGCCTTCATGGTGGCTGCTAAAATCTCATCTCCTTTGAACTCTTTGTAGAGCTCCTGTAGTGTCTCTCGGGTCTCAGCATTTGTATTTTTCAAGTAATAAGATGGGTCCTGTTTGGCCTTTTCCTCATCTACAAAACAGGGTATGGACACTGAGTAGCCAAGACAGCAGGCAGCCAAGGCCCCAGAGGCTCAAGATGAACACAACAGGAATAGAGCTGGAACTGGCCACATGGCAGAAGCTGTGGGTGGCTTGACTAAGACAGGCTTCTCTGGCCATAGCACAGCCAGAGCTTACTGCCCTGGGGCATCTGGCAGTAGCATTAGTGGGTGCAGTAAGGTGGGACACACACAGAACACAACATCATGGGGCCTGGCTAGAGGGGTTTCCCTCATACAGTCAATGGGAGTATCAGGATGGTTCAAACGCAAGTGTCGCTGTCCTCTGTATCTACCTGTATTCTACAGCCTTTTCAAAATGTTTTGCTTGTGTGATTTTAAACGCGCTTCTCGCTTTTGTGTGTGGGGGGGGGGGGGGGGGGTCTCAAGACAAGGTTTCTCTGTGCAGCCCTGGCTGTCCTGGAACTCACTCTGTAGACCAGGCTGGCCTTAACTCAAAGACTCACCTGTCCCTGTCTTTCAAGTGCTGAGATTAAAGGCGTGCCCTGCCACTGCCCAGCTAAAAGTGCTTACTTCAAAGGAAGGAAGAGTTTGGAGTATTTCATATAAGAAATGCTTCATCTATGCCATACGCTGCTTGCCAGGCCACTTACTGGGCAGTGAGCATCCCTAGGCCTGGCCTCTTAGTCTCCTGAGTTCAGTTATTCCTGAGTTGTTCTACCTCCCTAAATCCTGACTGGTCCACAGTGTACATTATAAAGGTCAGAATACTGCTTCCTGCTAAGGTGGGCCAATAAAGCTCTGGCCATGAGGGAACTGGAATTGATATGTAAAATAAGATTGTTTCCAATTTAAATAAAATTTATTTAAAAAAAAAAAAAGCTCTGGCCATGAGTCTAGCTGGCTCCTTGGAATGAAGAGCAAGTCCAGAAGCTTCAGCCGCTCCATTGTATGTTACAGTGTGATCAACGGCATGGGCCAAACACAGCACCCTACAAAGTCTGATGTCACCCAGTCACCCACAGTCTCACTTGTCCTGGAAAGGGCAGCAGCCAACAGGAATCCAAAAAAACCACAGGGCCCCCAGAGCAGAGGAAGGGAAAGAGAGGTGTCCTGGTGTTTCCAAGACTACAGCCAGCAGCTTCTCTGACCACCTGGAGCCTGACAGACATGGTGGTGTATGCATGCCTGTAACCCCAGCACTTAGAAGGAAGAGCTCACCCGAGAAGGAAGCACACCTCCACTTTACTTGCAGCAGCCTCAGTTGTCCATACCTGGATCTATGACTTTCATGTTGTTCTTCACATGGAAGAAATTGGAAACATTGAATTTGTCCAGATTGGTGGGGTCCTGTGACAAGAAGAGAACACTCAGGAAGAAAACCAGGCCTGTAGCAAGCACCTGCTGCCGACGGCAAGGCTTGACAGGTGCCTGCAGGGAGCAGTGGCCACGGGTGCTGTGGTACAGAAGATCACCAAGCCTCATGAGGAGAGCTGAAGGCAGAGCTGGGGGTCAAAGTGAGGCACTCACTGTGAAGCACTTACCTGCAGGGTGATGATGTCTTGCCTGGAAAAGGGCTCATCAGTCAATAGGTCCCTCAAGTTCTTGGCCTTGATGTTTAGCTGCTCCACTGCCTACAGCAGGACAGAGGTGTCATGAGCCCTCTGTCATGGCACAGAAGAGGGAACCCAGCATACAAAGAGCCAATCTGGGGTGCACATCTCAAATGCTCCCACTTTCCTGGCAGAGACTAGCTAAACCAACCTGGCTGCTCCAGACAAGAGGTCTAACATGGGCTCTTCTGCATCACAGACTGCTTCTTGCCCTGGTCTGATCAGTGAAGGAAGATAGATCCTGTACCTCCCATCAATCTGACACCTCCTCCTTCCTAAGAGCCTGGCTTCCCCTTTCTCCCTATACTCCCAGGGTCCTTTCCAGAGTCTGGTCTATGCTGAAGACAGGGAAGACTCCCTGGGATGCAAGGAATCCTTGCTTAGGCAGCCCCAACTGCCTTCGTAGGTTTCAGGTCCAAAGCCACCAGAGTCACCTAGGTTCTTTTTTTTAACTCCCGGAGACAGTTTCTCTGTATAACAGGACTGGCTGTCCTAGAACTCCCTCTGTAGATCAGACTGGCCTCAAACTCACAGAGAGCAGTCTGACTCTGCCTCTGCCTCCTGAGTGCACCACCACTGTCCAGCTGAGGTCACCTGATCTTTATTTTAAGGCCTCAAAAAGTAGGCTGGATGGCTACCTGCCAGAAACGATGCCTTGTGCTGAAGGCTATAAACCCCAAGGGGACAGGCATGCTCGATGTTCCTCGTTCACCTCCAGCACTCAGCCAGGTTTCTGCACTATCCCCAAAGTACATGTGAGGGCCCCACATTGGACAGTCCCACTTACTGCAATAGGGGACTACCTCATAGGTGTAGACATTGCCTGTTGTCCTGATGGCCACAATATGTGTGTTGTCAGTGAACACAGAGTACAGCACTGGACAGTGGTACTGCCCTAGAAAGAAAGCACACACAGGGTTAGTGGCCCTTAAGAGCTGTGATAAGGGATCATGATAGTACATATTTATAACCCAGCTACTCCAGATGCTGAGGCAGAAGAACAGACTACAAGACCAGCTGGACAATTTAAGAAGTCTCAGGGTCTTAGCTGCAGATAGGGCTCTGTGCTTAAGAGCACTGACTGCTCTTCCAGAGGACCTAGCTTCAACATGGCAGCTCACAAGTGGCTGTAACTCTAAGAGCTGACACCCTCACACAGACACACATGCAGCAAAATACCAATGCAGATAAAATGAAAATAAATTACTAAAAGAAAGACTACTTTTGTCTCAAAGTGAAAGTTAAAAGAGGCTCAGTGGCAGTGCATTTCCTAGTGTGTACTGATACTGCATCCAAAGGACCACATGGGACGGGACACAACTGGCGGTGGTGGCCCACACATTCAGTCCCAGCCCTGGGAGGCAGAGGCAGGCAGGTCTACAAGAGAAAGTTCCAGGACAGCCAGGGCTATACAGGGAAACTCTGTCAGGGTCGGGGACAGGGAGAAGAACCAGTAGGGGTTAGAGGAGGGAAGGAGGCAGAACCTTAGGCCAGCTACCAAGACCTGGGAACCACAGGGATACCAGCCATTCAAGCTCCATTCCCACACTGTTAACAAACTCCTGTTCATTGTCCCTTACTCAGAACAGTGTTAGCCTCCCCACTGGCTCAGGTGACCCACCTTCTCTTAAAGCCATGGCAGACAGGAATTGGCTTATCTTTCTAGAGACCCTGTTTCCACTGCTTTCTACCACCACTCCCTTTATCTCCTGGGCTTCCTCATCTAGCTCTCTGTGACAGCTGCCAGCTAGCCAGCCTGCCCATCTTCCTGCTCCAATAGAGGATCTCCCATCCAGCAGGGGCCTCGTCTAGTGAGTCCCAATGGACAAATAGGGGCAGGGGAGGACAAATAGACATGTCACTAAAAATGTGTTTCAAAATCAAAAAGAAATCACACACTTACAAACACATCAAACAACAACAACAACAAAAAAAAACTATGAAAATTTAACCACTCTGTATATTTGATACCAGGGAATTCCTGTTCCTTTTTAAGTGTCATAATATCATGATGAAAATGTTAAGTCATTATCTTTTAATTAGTATACTACATTTGTGTGGGGGTTCTTTTGTTTGTTTGGGTTTTTTTTGGGGGGGGGGGGTTGAGACAGGCTTTCTCTGTGTAGCCCTGGCTGTCCTGGAACTCACTCTGTAGACCAGGTTGTCCTCAAACTCATAAATTTGCTTGCCTCTCCTCCTGAGTGCTGGAACCTTGCAACCACCACCTGGCTCTGTATTATATTTTTATTCATTAACTTTGTGTTCTGAGGGAGGGGACAGAGATATGCACATGTCACAGTGCAAGTGTGGTAGTCAAAGAAGAACTTCAAGAAGTCAGTTTCCTCCTTCCATAAGTCCTGTAGATGGAACTCAGGTTGTCAGGCTTTGCAGCAAATGCCTTTACCTGCTGAGCACCACCCTGAGACTGCCAAGTGCAAGCCCAGATAAAACCAGTAGGCTGTAAGGAACTGGTGCTGCTGAGTGGTACAGGTGGAAATGTCTCACTAATGCTGTTTTCATGGGTCTGAAATTTCAAATCAAAGCAAAATAGACTTGGCCAAGGTAGTATGAGTCTAAAATCCCAGTACTTGGGAGTATGAGAAGCATCAGGAATTTAAGCCAGCCTCAGCTACAGAGTGAGTTTGCAGCCAATCTGGACTTTACCTAAAAAATAAGGGGGGGGGGGTGACAAAGCTAGTTCATTAGTAGAGGATGGGGCAGGGGTAGGGGAACGACAAGGCTAGTTCACTAGTAAAGGACTTGCATAGCATGTAAAGTCCTACCTCCCAGCACTATCAAAAACATGAGGCCCAGTCTTGAGCTCTAGTCTGGTCTGACTCCCTAGTGTACCACAGGACTGACCTGCCTCCCATCCCCACCCTCACGTCTTAAGCCATCTGCCCTTGCTCACATGGTTTCAACAGTAATGGACTCCTGCCATGCATGGACACCCTCGAGCACATGTCTGCCTTTGATGTGCCTGACCCCTCTGCCTAGAATGTTCTACCCATATCCTCATACAGCTCCCTCTCACCCTCTCAGATCCTGTCTGCTACCCTTAGTGCTGGCCCCTTCCTTCCTCCACTTCATCTAAAACAACAGACATTGGATGCCCTACTTATCTCCTACACAGATTCCTCCCCCACCAACAAAAGTTCTTCTCACGCAAGGACACACACATACACACACACACACACACAACACACACAAAACACACATAACACACCCCACCTGCTTGTTCTCTGTACATTTCCAGGCAGACACTCCAGAAGAGCTGCTGTGTAACAGGTGTAACAGACACATATGACCTATTGACCCAGGGCTGCTGTAGATCAGATAATGAAGAAAGATGGCCCATTCTCTCTATGCTTGCAACATTTTCATGGAAAACACACACCCAGTGAGCACTGACAACAACCTCAACTGTGGTACTAATATAAGAGTGAAAGGAGATCTCTTAGTCAAAACCACCAAGAACCTGCAACAAATTCAGACCCCAGGACAGGGGCAGGGCAGCTGGAACTGTAGCTGCTATTATCTAACTGGGCAACAACTGGGCACAAACGGACTTAGAGTAGGGGGCCCTAGTGGGGCAGAGGTCTGAAGGAGCAGTGATGATTGAGTCTACTCAAGAGCAGACTAGAAATGTCTCCCAAATATCCACAACCAGTCAGGCTGGCCACCTTTGGCCTTGACCTGAGCAACTTCCACCTACAGCCAAAAACAGACCACGGCCTCAGCCAGGTATGGCCCATGCAGGAGGCCCAACTATAGCACCAGCAGCTCACAACAGCCCAACAGCCTTTGTGGGAGCCACCTAACTGTACTTAAACTACATGGTCCTTTGAGAAGTCATGTGTCAACTTGGCAATCAAAAGCAAGTGTCAGGAAGGAATGAGTGAGGCTGGAGATTTGACTCAGGCAGATCACTTGTGTAGCATGTGTAAGGCCCCAAGTTCAGTCTCCAAACACAAGAGAAGAGAAAGGAATGCCTGATTATAGACAAGAAGTTGGTGAGAGCAGGAGCTTAGGGGTTCTGTGGACCAGTCCTGGAGCTGGCTACAAAAGGGACTCTCACCTTCACTGTTCTTTGCAAAGTTCAGCTTGATCAGGGATTTCCCATCAAGTTTCTGGAAGACAGACAATTAACAATAATGAATAAGGGGAGAAAGAAAATGAAGGCTACCAAATCAGGAGCACCAGGGACAGAACAGAAAGATCTGCCCAACTGACTCTGTTCAGTTTACACTAGGGGAACTTTCTCTGGAAGTCTCCAAGACACAGCCAGGACTCCTGAAAGTTGCAGAATGGCAAGCCTACATAGTTGCATTGATGTCATCTGTAAACCCAGGCTGTAAGCAGAATTCCAGATTTATAACCACCAAATCCAACAAACAGAAGGGGTAGTTACTGGGCTAAATGATGAGGCTGCGGAATAAAGATGTGTATTTCTACAATGTCTGAACTTTTCTTTCTGGTGCTAGGCACCAAACTCAGGACTTCATATATGTTAAACGTGTGCTCTACCACTGAGCTCCATATCCAGGCCTTGTCTGAATATCTTTATGGTAAGCACACCACTTACTGAGTGAGTGCAGGGCCACTGAGATAGCTTACCACTTTATACAAGCCTGAAAACCTGAACTCAATCCCTGAAACCCACAGTGGAGGGAGAACAAACTCCTCAAAGTTGTCCCCTGGCCACATGTGCACCACTCCAACACCCACATCATATCCTCGCTCTATAATAATAATAATAATAATAATAATAATAATAATAATAATAATAATAATGGTAATAAATAAAAACAGAAACAAAAATAAATAATACTAAAAACTAGTAGGGAAGACAAAGAAATTGCTCAGCTGGTAAAGGTGCTTGTCACTGAGCCTGATGATATGTTCCATGCCCAGCAGGACCTATAGAGGAAAGAGAGAACTAACTCCCACAAGTTGTCCCCTGACCTTCACACACGCATGCACACACATACACAAAATAAATAAATGTAACAAATAAAGCTAGTGAGAGTACCCAGGAATTCTGCTTATGCTGTGGTACAAATATTTTTTAAAAGGAAACAACAACACTGAAAGAGGAAAAACTGGTGATGTAGCTCAGTGATAGAGCGTGTGTTGAGCATGGTTAAAGACCTAGAAAGGAATGAACACACCCACAGACTAGGAGTGCTGTACCAGAACAAAGCCCAGCTTCTAATCAGGACCAAAGTAACTGCTAGATGTAGTTTGGCAGCTGTAGAGCACAGACCAACTAACAAGATTTGATACCCCAAAGAGCACCTGTAACACAGAATGCAAAAATAACCGATTAACAATTGTCCACGAGAACAGAGACTGAGGTCATGAGGACAACTGTAGATAAGATAGCAGGGTGGCAGCTTGGAAGCAGAGGACAGAGAACACTAACAAAACAACGAAGGGCAGGGCTGCTGCAGGGGAGCCAGTTCAACATCCTTAGTCACAGCCTCAGGAAGGCAGAGACCAACCAACCACAAGGCACAGGCAGGCAGCAGGGACCTCATAATGAGGAAACCAGTAAAGGCTATCCTCCCAACCCGGGGCCTCAGGAGAAAGCCCCTGGAGCTTCCTGGATGCCAGCAGAAAAAGTTGGTCACACTTCCAAGTGGGAAACACCAAGGAAGGAAAGCACACTACTCTGGGAGGTGAGGCCCAAGCTTCCATCCCAAGCAGCCCATGAGAAAGCACACAGGCTCTGGAAGGAGTCTAAGACCCCTGTGTATAGCACAGTCCCCCTTTCCTCAAGAACAGGGAAGAAATGGGCTGACAATATATGCATCTACACGGGATAGAATCTCTGGACCCCACACCAGTCCCAGACTGTCACCAGATGGAAGACTGTGGCTGGCTTCCTGCCACTCAGTAGGTTGAAATTTTGTATATGTGGATTTTTGGGGGGTAGGGTGCTAGAAAACGGAAGCCAAGGTCTTCTGCAAGCTAGGTAAGTGCTCTATTACTGAACTGCACCCCCAACCCAGGAATTCTTCTTGCCAAGGCATTCCTGTCCCAGGCTGGGAAGTGGAGGAGCAACATGATCTGCACTAACAGGACAGGCAGAGTCTCCAGACGAAATACATTGTAAGTTCTGTAGACCTTGACATGAAATGTTCCCCCAAACTTTACAAGTCACAGAAACCTTACTTCAAACAGGGCTTTCAAGAAGGTAATCAAGCCGGGCGTTGGTGGTGCACGCCTTTAATCCCAGCACTCGGGAGGCAGAGGCAAGCGGATCTCTGTAAGTTAGAGACCAGCCTGGTCTACAAGAGCTAGTTCCAGGACAACCTCCAAAGCCACAGAGAAACCCTGTCTCAAAAAACCAAAAATAAAAATAAAAATAAAAATAAAAATAAAAAAGAAGGTAATCAAGTTAAGATGGGGTACTCTGGCAACAGTGGTGGAATGGGCCTGGCCTCAGATCCTAAGCCTGGACTAATTACCAAGTTCCACTGGTCCTCATTGCTGATCAGGACAGTGACAACTTCTCAGTCCCCAAGACCCCACAGTGCTAGTTGAGTGCTGAGATCCCTACTGCCCTAAAGACAGGACTCAGGCTCAACACCTTAAACATCTGGCTCTCCCCTTTCTTCTGCCTTCAACCTGGTGCAAGGGCACACAGCACCTCTCACCTAGACAAACGTATATATGATCCCGGCAGATCTCCCCAGGGCCACCAGGCTCCTCAGAGCACCTTCCTGACAAAACCAACACTATCCTCAATACAGGTCGGGTCATGACCCTGCCTGAGCTTCCAACCCACCATAGCTGTCCAGGGCCATCGAGGTTCCCCAATATGGCATCTGAATGTCATCTCCTCTCATCCTCAGGACTGAGCATGACAGCAGCTCCTCAAAGATTCCTCAGCACTTCCACCCTCCCTCTTCCCTCGCCATCCCCATCTGGGTCATTTCAGTGACTCTGCCCCGTCTCCATGCTGGGCCCTGCACATACAAAGCTGATTCCTTCTTCACAGGAACAACTGAATGGATAAAGAACTAGGCCCACAGAAGGGGTGGACACAGACCTTTGAGATGCAAAAGGACTAAAGGACCTGAGGCTGATTAAAATGTGTGAACAAGTCAGGCTAGAGAATGAGCTACAACCTTAATCAGAAATATTGTTCCTGGGTAGCACAGAAGTCACAATATTGGACCTGGGTGCTTATTTGATATAAATATGACTTGTTTTTGCTTTTTGAAGACAGAGTCTCTCTGTGTAGCCTTGGCTGTCCTAGAACTCACTGTAGACCAGGCTGGTATCAAACTTACAGAGATCTACCTACCTCTGCTTCTCAAGTACTGGAATTAAAGGTGTGCATGACTTTCTTTTTGCCCATAAAAAAACAAAAAACAAAAAACAGGTGATGGTAGCACATGTCTTTAATCCCAGCGTTCAGGAGGCAGAGGCAGTCAAATCTCTGAGTTCGAGGCCAGCCTGATCTACAGAGTGAGTTCCAGGACAGTCCGGGTCACACAGAAAAACCCTGTCTCAAAAAACAAAACAAGGGCTGGAGAGATGGCTCAGAGGTTAAGAGCACTCTTTACTCTTCCAGAGGTTATGAGTTCAATTCCCAGCAACCACATGGTGGCTCACAACCATCTGTAATGGGATCTGGTGCCCTCTTATGGCACCAGATACATACATAATAAATCTTTAAAAAAAACAAAACAAAAAACTCTGATGATACCCAGAATTGTCAAAGACATGGGAAAGAAGCACTGTCTTCTGCACAGTGTGGCTAAAAACTTCAAATGTACAACAATTTTGAAGGCAGTTGGCTAGTAGCCAACCTTCTTTTGACTCCACAGTCCTAGAGAATACTCCCGTGTGATTAGGAAATGTGCATGGGGCCATTTCTGCACTTCTGCGACTGACAAATGGCAGAGGATTCAGTACCAGCTCAGCCACAAAGACACAAGTCCAAAGATGGTTCAGTGGGTGGGTAAAGTCACTTACCACTAAGTGTGACACCCTGAGTTATATCCCTAGAACCCACATGGTGGGAGAGACCTGACACCCACAAGCCGTCCTGACCCTGGGCCATGCCATGTGCACTCACACAGATACCCTACTTACTTACACATACACTGACAGGTAAATAAGTGTAAAAGCCATTCTTTCTAAAGGACAGACAGTCTCACAGAAAAAGCTGTGCTTTCTGTACTGACACCCATGAGACTCACAAAGCAAGATACAGATAAGTCACCCACTCTGATCAAACTCGAGAGAAAACATAGACAGCCAAGCATGGAGGCTAAGGCAGGACTGCTGTGAGTGAGAAGACAGCCTGAGCTACAGAATAAGACTCTGTCTCAAGCAAACAAAGACATATACAATGGTGTACACTCACAAGAGATTAGTACCAAGACTCCACAAATATTCCAGTCTCAAAATGATATAGCATTTGAATGGAACCTATGTGTGCCCTCTCACCAATTTTAAACCACCTCTAGACTGCTTGCTACCTATTACAACATAAATGCTACACAAAACCGGGCGTTGGTGGCGCACACCTTTAATCCCAGCACTCCCGGAGGCAGAGGCTGGTGAGCTCGAGACCAGCCTGGTCTACAAGAGTTAGTTCCAGGACAGCCTCCAAAGCCACAGAGAAACCCTGTCTCGAAAAACCAAAATAAAATAAAAATAAATGCTAAATAATTATTATCTGAAACTTTTTAGGAAACAATGACAAGAGAAAGTATATAGATATTCAATACAGATACAATTTTTCCACAAATGCTTCTTTTTGAGCATGGTAGATTGAATCCAAGAAAACAGAATCTGCAAATACAGGGGTCCAGCTGTACATGCACATGCGTAGACACAGAGGTAACACTTCTGGAAAGTGGAGGACTGCCGTTCTAGGCCCTGTGAGCAGTTCTCCACTGAGGACATGAAAACTGCAAAGACAAAGCAAAAGCAGGATACAGCTCCATGGCAATAAGTACCTGCATGGCCACCTACCTCTCCATTGCTGGGATTGGTCCCATACTTCTTAAGCCATGGAACAATGTTTCTGATGGAAAAGAACAAAAAGTGTCACTAGAGGCTAGAGAGATAGCTCGGCAGTCAAGAGCACATGGTGCTCTCACAGAGCACCCAAGTTCCCAGCACCCCCATGACATGGCAATAACAACTATTTGTAACTCCAGTTCCAGAGAATCCAATGTTCTCTCCCAGCTCCCACAGGCATTGTGCAAACGTGGTACACAGACAGACATACAGGCAAAAACCCACACACGTCAAATAAAAATGTCACCAGTAGCAGCTGCCAGTGAGAACACCCGAGGCCTTAGGGCTGCTCCCAGATGAGTGTGCGGGGCAGGCTGCACCTCACTACAGAGGGGAGGAGTAGCTTCTTTCATCTGTAGACTGCATTCTACAGTAGACTGGGGATTCCCTGGTGCTGGAGCCTGAACACATGCCTGATGCACACAGACTGTGCTTTCCCACTGCGCTCTACTCAGCATTTGCAGGAGTTTGACTGCAGTTGCATATAAAGAAGATCTTTAACTGGGCAATGTTAGCATGTCTATACAACAAAATACTAGGTCAGCATCAAAAATTATACTTGTGCCAGGGGGTAGTGGCCCATGCACTCAGGAGGCAGAGGCAGTCGGATCTCTGTGAGTTTAAGGCTAGCCTAGTCTACAGCATGAGTTTCAGGACAGGCTCCAAAGCTACACAGAAAAACCCTGTCTCAAAAAAAAAAAAAAAAAAAAAAAAAAAAAAGTATACTTGCAGCCACACATGGTGGTAAGCCACCCATAGCTACTTATGAGATGAAGGCAGGAAATCACTTGAGCTCAGAATGCCAGCCAGGGCAACACAGTGAAGACACCCCACTCTCCAAAAACAAATCTGTGTACAGAACAGAGCCCAGAAGGCATAAACCTGCACAGTGATGACCCTGAACAGTGAGCTCTTTATGGTCAATGTTCTACTGAAGTACTTCACTTTTTTCTAAATTTTAGAAAGTATTTTAGAACCGAAAACAAGCTTGTAGTATAAAACAAAGATAACATATGTTGGAACATACGTAGGGTAAAATTCTTCAGAATATAATGCTGGGAACTATGCACCTTCATCACAGCCATGCTTTCTGCAGGCAGAGAATATCTTGTACATCACTGTTCCACATCAAGGACAGACAGGTAAGGAGCTGGGCACTAAAACATGGGGATAGAAGGACTCATCTCCATCCAGAGCAGCGGCAACAGCACTACCAGCCAATACTGCCTGCTAGAGGTCACAGAGCACTTTCTGCCATGTCCCTGAACACCTGGTTGTCCTTCCCAATTCCTAAAGAGTGATGGGGAATGTCCTTCTGTACGCTGTGAATATGTTTCTCATATATTGGTTGATGAATAAAGCTGTTTTGGCCAATGGACAGGCAGGATTCAGCCAGGTGGGAAATCCAAACAGGGATAGAGAAAGGCAGAGTCAAGGAGATGCCATGTAGCTGCCGAGGAACAAGAGACCCAGGCATTATCAGTAAGCCAATGGACACATGGAGATACACAGATTAATAAGAATGGCTTAATAATTAAGAGAGAACTAGCCAATAAGAAGCCTGAGCCTTTGGCCAAACAGTTTATAATTAATATAAGCCTCTGTGTGTTTATTTGGGACTAAACGGCCGTGGGACCAGACAGGACAGAAACTCTGTCTACACAAAGAGGCTCACCTAGACATCATGAAGATTCTAGGAACAAGATTTTGGTGACCCTGTCCCTGCTTGGAACCTCAAACTCAACATCCCTTTCTCTAGTAGGTGTCAACAATCATATAGTACTTGTTAAATCAAAATTAAAGGCAGTGCTGGGAGACAGCTCACTGGATAAAGTACTTTCTATGCAAGCACAAAAACCTGAAATTTGGATCCCCAAAACCCATATAAAAGGCAGATAAGACAGCACACATTTGTAACTTTAGTAGGGTTTAAAATAGCTGAAACAGCAAGTCCCAAGTTCAGTGACAAGGTCCTGTCTCAAAAACATAAGGTGGAGAACAACAGACAAAGACCCCTGAGGTCAACCTCTGGCCTCCACATACACATACACCTGAACACAATCTCACATACACAAATACCAAATACACCACAAGTAAAAAGAAATTTAAAAATTCAAGAGGAAACTCACAGCAAGTCAAAGACGACACCTTCCGGGGTGCAGACTGGGTAGACAAAAGGCTGCAGAGAGAGACTGAAAAGGACAGATGTCTGGTCAGCTTCTGGGCACATAAGCATGCTACAGTTCCTACAACCTTCCCAACAGTTCCAAGTACACCCTGCCACTGACCCACGACACCATTAGGGATAAGGCATCATCCCAAGAGGTGCCTCAGTACCTGGTGCAGAAGTAGCCAGGCTTCTTTCAAGCCTACTTCATACTATATAAGGGTTCTGTTGTCAGATTCAAGTCAAAAAGAGGTCCCCAGTGATGGCCTTGAGAAAGCAAGACTAAGATTCCTTCTCCAGTTCCTCACACAGCAGGTAAACCAAGCTTTCATCCCAAGAGCCATCTTCCCCCATCCCAAGCTTTGATAAGGCTACTTTGGTATGGTGCCTGCACCACTCTGATGTGTGCTGGGAACATGACTGAGTAAAAGTTGAATCCTTGGGAATCTCTTAAGCACTGGGTGAAAAGGTCTACAGCAGCCTCAACCACCATAATCATTTCCCACGTGAGGTGTCTGCCTAGTGAACAGCCCATGCTGCCGCTTTCCTTTCTCTCTTATGATGGCACACAGGAGGCAGAGCAGGTGATCTGCTTGAGTTAGAGGCCAGCCTGTCTACACAGTGAATTCCAGGTCCGCCAGAAACTAGAACAGTATATAGATCCTATCTAAAAGAGCAGGGTGGAGGTGGCACACACCTTTAATTCCAGCACATGGGAGGCAGAGGCAGAGGCAGAGGCAGGAGGATCTCTGTGAGTTCGAGACCAGCCTGGTCCAGGACAGCCTCCAAAGCCACAGAGAAACCCTGTCTTTGGAAAAAAAAAAAAAATACTCCTGATGCAAGTATGATAGCCTAGAAGGGTAGACTATTTGGGATGTAGAAGCAGATGAATTAGGAGTTCAAAGCCAGCCCAAGCTACAGAGTAAAAAGACCCTATCTTAAAACATACACACACTTGGAGAATGATAATCAAAAGAAAATAGAACCTGGGGAGGGCCTGGGCCCTGCCCCAAATGATGTGACAGATTTTGGTGATTCCCCCATAGAAGGCCTCACCCTTTCTATGGAGCAGAAGAGGGATGGGATGGGGGTCGGTTGGGGGGGCATGGGAGAATGGGAGGGAGAGAGAACTGGGATTGATATATAAAATAAGATTGTTTCTGATTTAAATTAAGAAAAAGAAAACAGAACCCTTTTAAAGATCTTACCTACAGTGGTCAAAAGGTAAGCGGCGAAAACTTGTCTGTGTGATATCTGTTTAAATAAAAACCAGAAAACTTATTTAGAAAGCATTTCATCTACTGTATCTACCACAAAAACTACATTACCACAGATTAAATTTTTTGTTGCTGTTGTTCCAAAAGAGAAGAGTTGTATTATGTATTGCTGGAGATGAAGCCCAAGACCTTATATATGCTATGTGCTAGTTGTATCACCGAGCTACACCTCCAGGCCCCAGATTAAGAGTAGCCGGGCAATGGTGGCACACCTTTAGTCCCAGCACTCGGGAGGCAGAGGCAGGCGGATCTCTTTGAGTTCGAGACCAGCCTGGTCTACAAGAGCAGCTCACAGCTAACTCCAGTCCCAGGGGATCTGGCACCCTCACAGAAGCATACATGCAGACAAAACATCAATGCAAATAAAATAAATAAATGAAAAAAAAAACTACATCCTTTTTTCTACAGCCTTGGAAAACTTGGGTATTACCATTCATGTTTTCCTCCTATGAAGAAAAAGCCGTTTTACATAAAAATACTTTTAAAATCTCTCCACTACTATACTCTACTATGTTGAGTACGCATCCTCTTTTGTGGACTCTGTACTCAGCCCACTAATATACACTGTAATATCAGTGTTCTGGACCACTATATACATTCCTCAGTACCACCAACACCCCTTACCTGGCTTCCTGCCACCATAGAAGTGAGTGTACTCCGCGCAGGTGATGTACCTAAGGAAGACAGAGGATATTACTAGTTGCCCTCACAGAAGGGACAGAAGCTGTAGATGTAATATGACAGAACTGCCACTCACTTGACAAGTGCACATCAAACATCTGCAGCATTAGACATAATGATAAGCACAACAGACAGAAATATATGCAAACATCAGCGACCTTGCCCTGAAGGAGATGAACTGGATGACCTGGCAATGAGAAAGAGCTAGGCTTACAAAGATCTGGGGAAGCCCTTTACAGGGCAGTACTTACTGAGGTTGGAGCAGAGAAAGCTGAATGTGTTCTGGAAGGGAGACACTAGAAGAACATCTGGGGAGGTATGGGGCAGCAGATGGAGACAGAAGCAAGGACAGTAGCTGATCATAAAGGAGTCTTTAAAAAAAAATTATTTATTATGTATACAGTGTTCTGTCTGCATGTGTGCCTACAGGCCAGAAGAGGGCACCAGATCTCATTACAGATGTTTGTGAGCCACCATGTGGTTACTGGGAATTAATTGAACTCTGGGACCTCTGGAAGAACAGTCACTGCTCTTAACTGCTGAGCCATCTCTCCAGCCAAAACCTTTCTTTTTTCTTCTTCGTCTTCTTCTCTTCTTCTTCTTTTTTTTTTTTTTTTTTTTTTTTTTTTTTTTTTTTTTTTTTTTTTTTTTTTTTTTTTTTTTTTTTTTTGAGCTGCTTTGGAGCCTGGCCTGGAACTCGATCTGTAGACCAGGCTGGTCTTGAACTCACAGAGACCCGCCTGTCTCTGCCTCTCTGTCTCTAATCCCTACTGGGATTAAAGACGCCAGACCATAAAGGAGTCTTAAAGATCCAGAAAGTACTCTCCATTGCCTTAGGTGTGATGGGAAGCCGTTGAATGGTTTTGAGCAGTACCCAGACATGACCTAACATAGCTCTGGTTGCTGTGTGCCAGTGTTTAAGGCTGAAAACTGTCTTCAGTCTATGTCTAGCAAATCAGGGATTTACTATGTAACCACTGGAATAAGATGGAAATAGAGCAGGCTTAAGGTGTGAAAATTATCAAGAAAGAGTTCCCTTTCAGGCATTCTAATTCTGAGAAAGCTACTGAGTAAACAGCTGACTTAGTGCAGGCGAGATTAGACTACTAGAACAGATCACCCACAGAGAACAGAAATGAAGGGACACCCACGAAGTCTGGGACAGGGGAAGGAAGCCCAGCAAGGAGGAATGATAAAAGAGAGGTCATTGCGACAGATAAAAAGCAAAGCCGCTTGTAGGATCCCACTAAGGGTCGGCTTCGGAAAGGGAAGAAGCCCAAAGACTGAGAGCTGCGCACTAGATTTGGCAATACAGAAGTCAAAGGCATCCTTGCCAGCAGTTTGGGGGTAAAGCATCTGATTACACTTGTTTCAAGAAACAACAGAAAACAGCATCCTGACAGACAGTGGCAAATGAGAGGAACACGGAACACAGTCCGCTAGTCTTAAACTGTCGCCTGCAAGTAGGCTGGCAAGTGACAGCCAGGACCAAAGGGCAGACAACCAACGCAGGGGCAGAAAGAGGGGCGGTAGGGGTAAGTCCCGGGAGTGAATCAGTCCGGCCAGCAAAACGCCCTAGCCGCGGAGGCCGCGCTAAGACGATATTGGGCTGCAAGAACTGAGGCTTTCGGGAAGAGATGACCTGCAGGGTGGTGATGAGGTGAGAAGAGAGGTGCTACCCAACTTACATCTTGTCCTTCTGGTGTTGTCGCTTCCCCATGGCTGCGACGAACCCAAGTCGGCCCCAGCAGACGATCAGACTCTGGCGCCTCCGCTTTCTCAGCTACTTCCGGAGTTCGGCTCACCCGGTCCCGGAAGTTGGAAAGAGGCATTCTGGGAATTGTGGTTTCCAGGTGCCCATAGTGAACGCTGGGCGCGGCCACCGTAAGAAGCAGAAGCTTGCTGGCTCTGAGTAGAATCCACTTTTCTTGTCTCCAGGCAAACTGCGTTGCGAATTCTCAAAGACTTCTCTGTACACTACCTGGTTACTTGCCCAGCCCAAGCTGTACCAGCCAGATCCGCTCAGACCTGCCCTCCCTTGTATCTAAAGCCTCTTGCCCTAGCTCCTGGACCAGTGCCTGCAAAGGCATGGCCATCCCACTGCCTACTCACCTCCTTTTCTTTGCTCTCCAGCCCCCACGTCCTCCAGGCCCATCAGGTGGCAGGTGATGAAGCCCTCAGGTGCAGTGCCCTCCCCGGTTCCATATATCTACTCTGCTAGATCGTTCCTTGGAGCCAGGTCCTTGGTCTGGCTTGTTTTTTGCCTGAGGATGCAGAGGACTAGAGATTAACCCTTAAGTGCATGCTAAGTACAAACACCTGAGTTTCCTTTTATAGTATGTGTGTGGTCAACTATGTGCCATGGCACATGTGTGGAATTCATAGGACAAAATGCAGGAGTTGGTTCTCCTTGCCAGGCTTGTGCCGCAAGCCTAAGCTTGTGGCTTTATTTTTTTATGTGCAATGGTGCTTTGTGTAAGGGTGTCAGATCCCCTATGGGTGATGGGGATTGAACCTGGACCCTTTGGGAGAGCAGCAAGTGCTTTTAACTGCTGAAGCATCTCTCCAGCCCCCTAAGCTTGTGGTTTTAAACACCACTTATATCGTGACTCCAAAGACAACTACATGTCAAGTTCTTGTCTACATGTCTGATCAAAGAATTCTCAGTCTCCCTGTCCTCTGTTGCAAATCTCCACTTTGATGCTAATGCTCCACACCCTGTTAGCCTGACCTCCAACTGTTAGGTCTCAAACTCGGGACACACTGCTGAGGTGCCTATTTAATGTATCAGAGTGAATGCTGGCCACCAGGTTCTCCCTGCATTCCTCAGTCCCGGCCTGCTATAGGGGCCCCCCAGCTAGCATGCCTGCCCCCTATCCTAAACTTCTCCAGCCCAAAGGCTGGGCTGCCCTTCCCCCAGCTGCCCTTCCCTATATAATCCAAACATTTTGGTTACCTGGCCTTTTCATCGGCTCTCTCTGAGTCTCTTGGCTGCCACACCTGGTTCCCCTCTCCCCTTGCCCCTTCTTCTTGTATAGTTCAGGGTCATGTCCACTCTGGACTCTTCCAGATGTCCCTGCCTCTGGCTATACTCTTCCTTTTATCTATAATAAACCTTCACCGCCACCATACCTAGGAGCAGTTATGTTCCTTTCCTTTTTTTGTTTGTTTGTTTTCACCACCCTGATAAGATGTTCAGCCAGCCAAATTCCTATGTAACCAAAAAACCATTGGAAACACCCTAGCCTTGCAGTGTTGGAGTCTATAAATAAACCATTTTCCTGTGTTTGGGGGCTATTCTCTCAAACCCTGCTTTAGGGAGTAGCCATGTCTGGCAGGAAATAAAGTTTGCTTATTCAACCAAAAAATTGGGGTAATGGTCTTTACTCTCATTGGGTAGGATTAACAAAGACCACCATCCACCCATCGCCCACAGCCTCTTCTCATGTCATGTCCACCATCACCCAAGGGGGAGAGGGGTCACCTTTGCCTCCTCATGTCATGGATTCTGGTTTCCAAATAAATCTCACCTCAAAAGATCTTTGAGCCCAGCATGGTGGTGCACACCTTTAATACCAGCACTTGGGAAGCAGAGGCAGGAGGATCTCTGTCAATTTAAGTCCTGCCTCATCTACACAGTAAGTTACAGCCAACCAGAAATATACAGTGAGACCTTGTCTCAAATGGAAATAGAGAGGAAAAAACAAATACGCTTCCTTGGCCACCCCACTCACCTCTCTCCCATAGTTTATCACAATTTGTAATTATGTGGTAATTTTGCCTATGTTCTGATTTTTTTTTTTTAAATCTAGAGTCTCAAGCAAGGCATGGACATCCACCATGACTCAATAAGTATGTTTCTAATGTTCAGTAATGATCAACATCTGCCATGGAGAACAGGCTCTAAGGCCTGCATACGAGGTAACAATGAGAATCACATTTTTGAAACTTAGAATTACCAAGCTGGAAACTGACAGACCTGCTAAATCCCTACCAGGCAAAAACACTTACCAAAGTAGGCTGGTGTTTAGAGAACACATGTAAGGAAAATATAATTCACTTGCAAGGAAAGAACAATGCAACCCAATGGGGTCAATCACTGAAGGGAAGAACAATATCCCCACCCCATTCTCTCAAAGTGCACATAATGGAATTGCTTGTTGGGAGTGTGAGCAAAGGGCCATTTCATGATACTGATCTAAACACATACAATCCATATTTGGCAGGATGGGGTTGGGTGGGAGAGGGTGAGATGCAGGGATGGGATGTGGGGGCGTCCAAACAGGGTTTCTCTGTACAGTCCAGTCTAGCCTTGAATTCACAGGGATCCGCCTGCCTCTGCTTCCCTAGTGCTGGGACTAAAGGTGTGCACAGCAGATGGCTGAACACATACTATACATATTCTATGCAGCTTTAGCCTGGGAATTCAAGTTGGCTGTATCCCATTTGTTTCAGATGGAAGTACAGAGAGGATGTACAAGTCCTAGGGAGCACAGCACCAGGATATATGGGTTAATTTAAAATGTTCTAGTAACCAGTCTGAGCTATTGGCTGAGGATTTATAACAATAAGTAAGTCTCTGGATGGTTATTTGGGAGCGGTTGCCAAACACAGAGAAACTCCGCTTACAATGCACCTCTGTGGGAATTTTATTCATTCCTGGGGCATGGTCTGTAGGGAAGAGGCTACTCGCTCTTCTTGGCAGGGATGGACTCTGCACTGCCGGGGTCATTCTCAGAATCGTCTTTAGGTCTAGGCACAGGCTGGAACTTGAGTAGAACAGGCGGGGTGAAGATGGAAGCTTTCACGACAGGAGATGGAGTATCATCAGTGTTGGAGGGTTCACTACAGGCTGTTGTCCTGCATGGGAGACGGCCAACACATGCCATGAAGTAGGACACCAGCACACAGGGCTGCCAGACATCCATGTAATAAAGTCACAGGCTACAGGGTGTCTCCCAAGATACTTCCAGAAACCTCTCTCAAGGAGTCTGTTGAGTGTTGTATGTTATAGCACTGTTAGTACTGTAGAAAACCTGAAACAAATCTTAATGCTTATGAATGACACCTAGAGGAACACAGCACAAACCACCAGTGGGCTATCCTGCTGATGGTTAAAGGAGTGTAAATGTCACGATGGCTGTTTTTGTTTTGCTTTTTTTGGAACTGGGTGCCCTCAAACTATGTGGTTCAGACTGGCTTTGAACTTGCAGCAATCTTCCTGCCTCAGCCTCCCAGAGGCAAGAGTTACAGGAATGTACATGTAACCAGTCACCTGCTTGCACCCCTCTTGATCAGTGTAGTGAATCAAAGTGTAGCTCCTAACACTTCCATTTGGGTATCATTTTGTGAATAAATGTTTGTAGCAATTTCCTCTAGATTGAAACATTTCCTCCTGGATAGAAACTCCTAAAACTCAAGAAAATTCCAAAAACTAACAAAAAGTAGTAAGGGCATATAAGCAGTAAAATATTGCTAAGGGGAAAGAGATCCTCAGAGTTGAGGAAGGCGCTCAAGTGACACATTTGAGCTTTTCAGTAATATAACCATCTGAGATGCCCTTACAGCAAACCACAATAAACTCTAGCTCACCAAGCTAAAGGTACGTACAATATTTCTTTGATTCGTCATCAGCATACCATATAACAACTATTTTTGCATAACTTAAATAGCCATACAATATTCCATAAATATTTTTCTTTCTAGATTTTTATTTTTTGTTTATTTTTTTCAAGACAGAGTTTCTATGTATCCCTGGCTGGCCTGGAACTCACTCTGTAGACCAAGTTGGCCTGGAACTCACAGAGATCTGCCTGCCTCTGCTTCCCAAGTTCTGGGATTAAAGGTGTGCACCACCACTGCCCCACTTTTATTTTTTGAGACAGGGTCTCACTATAATAGCCCTCATAGCCTTGGTTGGCCTGGATTCCTAGAACTTTTTTTCTTGAGCAAGCTGATGACAAACTTGTAGCAGTATTTCTGCCTCCGCCTCATGAGTGCTAGAATTAAAGAGAAGTATTATCATGCCTGGATTCATATTTCCTCTTTGTGGGTTTTGTTTTGTTTTGTTTTGTGTATTTATTTATTTTGTGGTAGTAGTGCTTTTTTTGGTTTGGATTTTGATTACTGTTTTAGTTTGGTTTTAAGAAGACAGGGTCTCACTGTGTTGCCCTGGCTTGTAACTCACTATGTAGACCAGGCTGGCTTTGAATTTACAGAGATCTGCCTGCCACTGATGCCCCAGAGCTAGCTTAAAGGTGTGTGCCACTATACTCAACCACATTTCCTCTTTTATCTGACATTAACATGTAGTTTTGCAGAAGTGTCTTTTCTCCATTAGTCTAATAAAAAAGTTATAAGGCTCATAAGGACTCTCACAAGTTCAAGGTGAGACTGATGAACTTAGTGAGATCCTGACTCAGAAGCCAAGAGAGGACCAAGGATGTGGCTCTGTAGTAAGTCACTTACCTAGAACACACAAGCCCTGTATTCAAAAGGACCTTTGCTTTAGAGACAGTTTCCAAGTGCAAACACCAATTCACTGGATCTGAAACCTTTTTATAGTTCATGACCTATTTTTGAAAAGATAGTCCTTAATCCCAGCACTCAGGAGACAGAGGTAGGTGGATCTTTGTGAGTTTGAGGCCACCCTGTCTACAGAATGAATTCCAGGATAGCTAAGGCTACACAGTGAAACCCTGTCTCAAAAAAATAAAAAAATAAAAAAATAGGAAAATTATTTTAAAAAATAATCCCAGCAGGCAGAGGCAGGTAGATCTCTGTGAGTTCAAGGCCAGTCTGTTCTACAGAGCAAGTTCTAAGACAGCCAGGGCTACACAGAGAAACCCTGTCTTGGAAAACAAAACAAAAAAACCTAGGCAGGATCTCTGTGAGTTCAAGGCCAGCCTGGTCTTGAGCAAGTTGCAGGACAGGTTCCAAAGCTACACAAAGAAATCCTGTAAGAAAGAGAGAGAGAGAGAGAGAGAGAGAGAGAGAGAGAGAGAGGAAGGAAGGAAGGGATAGAGAGAAAGAGGGAAGGAGGGAGGGGCTGGAGAGATGGCTCAGTGGTTTAGAGCACTGATTGCTCTTCCAGAGGACACAGTTTCAATACCCAGCACCCACAAGACAGCTCACAACTGTAACTCCAGTTCCAGGTGATCCAACACCCTCACACAGACATGCAGGCAAAACACCAATGTACATAAAATACAAATAAATGAATAAATTAGAAGTAGACAAAGAAACCAAACACACATTCCCTAAATACAAACACGTCAGCATTAAGTTCAGGAAAGTCATTCAACATCATTGGTCAACAAGAAAATGTAAATCAGAGCCACAATGAGATCTGTCCACACCCCTGGGGCAGGAGAAGCTGTTCCTGAGGCGGTATAATAAAGCCCCAGCTATTTAGGAGGCTGAGATAGTGGGGGGTTGCTTAAGCCTAGATAAGATTACCTGGGCAACACATTGTGAGCACAATCTGAAAAACTGTTTTAAATTTTACTACATGTGTCTACTGGGGGGTAACCTGCAGGTACTACAGTGAGCTCATACACAGGGGGGAGTGGCTAGCTGCTTGAAGGGGTCAGTTTTCTCCTACCATGTGAATCAAACTCAGGTCATCAGCCTTGGTGGCAAACAACTTTCCTCACTGAGCTATCTCATTCCCACATTTTTATTTACTTATTTAAAATATGGCTATAAATATGCCTAAGTGGGAGAATGAGTACTTGCCTAGTAGGCCCTATCCCTGATACCTAGTGCAAAAACTAAAAAAGATGGGTGTGGTGACACACCTCTTTAGCCCCAGCACTCAGAAGAGAAGCAGAGGTGGGTAGATGTCTGTGAATTTAAGGCCAGCATGATTTACATAGTGAGGTCCAGGCTACCAGAGCAAAGGAGTGAGACCCTATCTCAAAAAAACAAAAGAAACAGCAAACAAACAAACAAAGATTAATAAAGCCATGCAAAGCATGTCAGTGCATACTGACAGTCCCAGAACTTGGAGGCAGGGTCAGAAGGACGACAGCTCAAGGCCAGCCTAGTCTACCTAGCAAATTTCAGGTCAGCCAGGAGTACACAGCAAGGCCTTGTTTCAAAAAAAGAAAGAAAGAAAGAGAGAGAGAGAGAGAGAGAGAGAGAGAGAAAGAAAGAAAGGCACTTGGGAGGCAGATGCAGGTGGATCCTGAATTCGAAGCCAGCCTGATCTAGAGAGTGAGTTCCAGCACAGCCAGGGCTACACAGTGAAACCCTGTCTTAAAAGATAGATAATAAGTATTGCCAGGACCAGCAAGTGGGTAAAGATACTTACCGTTAAGCCTGATGACCTGTATTTAATTCCCTGAGCCCACCTATGACAAGGAGAGCGCCAACTCCTTGTAAGATCACATGCATGCCCCAGGGACTATGGTGCACACACACACACACACACACACACACACACACACACACACACACACACACACACACACACACACACAGATAATAAATGTTTTAATAATAGTAAGTGTTCCTAGCTTAAGGGGAAAAAATGAGCCTTCAATATATCACTAGTGAGATTGGATGAGGCTACTTTACAATATGGCAGGTTCTCAAACTAGTAAACATGGATCCTGAATGTAGGTCAGTGATAGAGTACTTGCCGAGCATTTGTGAGGTCCTGGGTTCCATCACCAACACTGTAAAAAATGTATAGAAATGTATGTGGGTATATATATATATACATATATATATACATATATATGTATATAATGTACATTATATATGCATTAAATTTACCACATGACCTAGATGTCTCCTCAAGAAAAGTAACTATGACCTCACTAAAACTTTCCCAAATCGTTCATAATGTCATTATTCCTAGTAGCCAAAGTGTTGACTCAGATAACTTAGAACTGATGCATAGATAATAACATAAAAGCAGGAGCTGAGGAGACTGTTCAGTCAGTAAAATACTTGCTGTGCAAGCATGGGGGCCTGAGTTCTCATCTCCAGAATCCATCCAAAAATTGGCACAGCAGCATGCATGTATACTACCCAGGCTCACAGCCAGCCAAGCAAGCTCCAGGTTCATTGAGAGACCTTGTGTCAAAAACAATAAGATAAAAGGGCTAGAGAGATGGATGGCTCAGTGCTCTCACAGAGGACCTGGGCTCAGTTTCCAGCCCCTGCATGGTGGCTCACAACCAACCAACTGCTCTTTTGAGTTCCTGGGACACCAGGCACACATATGAGACATAGGCATGCATGTGGGCAAAACACAATCACAAAATAAAAACCACTTAAAAGTTAAGGAAAATGTGAATTGGGATGGAGGAAAAAAACCTGACTTTCACCCGTACCCTCTACACACGCATGTGCACACACACACACACACACACACACACACACACACACACACACACCACAACACATATACAGAAAAAAAAAAGACAAAGGAATATTATTGAAGCATAAAAAAGGGGTGAAGGATGCCTGTATGATGCCTAGACTTTAAAAACATTACCCTAAATGAAATCAGACAGACACAAAAGGCCATATTTTGAGGCCAGAATAAGTGATTTATATATAAGGATGGAAAGTACGGGGAATGACAACTATGGAAGGCTGCAAATTTTATTTACTTCTTTTTGTTGTTTTTTTAGTTTTTGTAGATAGGTTCTCTCTATGTAGTCCTGGCTGCCCTGGAATTATGTAGGCCAGATTGGCCTCAAACTCAGAGATCTGCCCAATGCTGGGGATTAAAGGTGTCTGTTATTTTTGAAACAAAGTCTCCCTCTGTAGCTTCGGCTAGCTTTGAACTCAGAACAATCTACCTGAAACAGCCTCCCAAATTACAGGTGTGAGCTGTCACGCTT